TTTTAAAATATAGTTGTTTTCACTTATGACGCCAAAGGGGGGGGGGGGGTTCAACAAGAAAAGAGCAATAGAAGTCCAGGAAATCCATTGTTCTCTTTTAAAAAAGGACTGTTAATTTCGGACATCATAAGTGAACGACCCCTTACGAATTCAGAAGAATAAAGAAGTCCATATTACAATAAAACCGTTTGGTATGTCTTAATTAAACTACAATTACAAAATTCTATTTGTTGACTTCAATTGGAAAATAAAGTTTTTTTTTTGGGAATCTAGCTTTACTTGCTGAATTTGGGATAAATCGATCAAGACGTTCAAAATATCTCATCAAACTAGATTGAATTATCAACTCAAACTTCAAAATCCAAGACAGATATAAACTTCTAATAATCCTTAAGTCTACTTACCTTCCTCAAAATCCAACAATTTCATTAATTTCATCAGGTTTGCCCACAAAATCTTCATTTTCATTTGATTTTTATTCAGAATTTTACTTTTATTATCAAATGAAGACTGAATAATGAAGACAACATCATGAACAACAAAGAGCACACCTTACAGAACTTAATATTTCAAAAACTGACATTTTTGGGTAATAAAATTTAAATTTAGAAAATTTGTTTTCACCTCAAACAGAAACTTTTCTTATTGCTGCAACAATTGAGCAACACAAAGAGATTATTGTAAGAACAAAAACTTAATCTGTGTGCAGCAAAAAATAAAGGACAGAAAACTTTTTATGCTAATCTGAATATTGAAATCTTTAAGTGGTTTGTACATTGAACATAAATCCACTTCTGAAAACCTCTCAATAATTTACAAGAGAATTTTTCATGCTCTTATTTAAAGCTCTATAAGATCCTTTTTTTGAAGAATATATTCGAAGATATTTAGGGATTGTTTGTTAATGACGTCTTTCTTAAGATTATTATGATTTTGACTATGAGATAAGGGAAGTAGGGAGGTTCTTGTAAGGGCGAAAATAAGTCAAAATTTAAACATTGATTTTTTTTTCCATTGGATGAGAGGGAAGAATTGAACACTGGCTGCTCCTTTTTCTACATAGCTATAAATGGTAGTGACCACAGACTATAACACCACTTAGAGGGTTCCTTAAAATTTATTTTAATTTTTAAGGGAAAATACAATTATTTACAATACAAATTTCAATCAAATGAACCCTTTGAACCACCCCCCTCCCCCCCACCCCCAACCTCAACCTTTAGCTAAACTTCGGAAGACCACTCATATTGCATGGTTGACATTATGTTAGGTCAATACTGACCTACTTGACATACCTTAATCAAATATTCGAAAGACATTATAAATCCACGTCCCGAAGAAGAACTTCTCAAAAGCCAAGCATCGAACAAAATGCAGTCAAGTGCACAGAGCTCTCTCAAGTACGCTCAATAGTTTATTCACTCTCTGCATGCATACATTTTATGACTATTATGAAATTTAACAAAACAAACAGAAAAAAAAGGAAAAATACAATATGTTGTTGTTTTGTGTATCAGGGGAACCACATGAAATATTATTTTATTTACTTGTTGTTAAATATCTTTCCATGGTTACAAGAATTTTTTTGTTTTCTTTAATATCCGTTTTGTCACAATTTGATTATGTCAATTTCTTCCTTCCAAAAAAATTCAAATTATTCGCTTAAAAATGTAATTTTTTATAGATTTTATTTTTTAATTTTTTCATACATGATTTTTATATTATTCTTTGCTGTGTCTGGTGAACTTTTATTTTTGGTATACGGCACTGCTAAAGGGTTAATAGATCTACTTGGATCAGGGGCGTAGCCAAAAATTTGAAGATGGGGGGGAAACAAAAAAAATTATATGGAAAATTCAGAGGGAAGGGGTGGAGGGGGGATTTTTATGATTTTTTCATTAAACTCTTAGCAAAATGAAGTAATTTCTGTTAACGTCGGGATATTTAGCTTACTTTACAGGCAAGGTTTATTAGTATGTTGTCTAAGCAGAGTGCAGTCTGTGGTATTAAGCTATATATAGGCGAATCTGCCAGCACCAAAGTAGGATCTATGTGAACGAATGGTAAGACCACAGAACAGATATCTGTACAACCCTCTTTTGTGTAAGGACATGGGTTCGAATCCCACCCGAGACTGATCAAATCTATTGCAAATCCATTGCACTGAGTGGTGTCGATTTGACAAGGATTCGCACAATGCTTACAACATTCCAGACTCAAGTCGTTTGGATAGATGTTCTAACTCAGCACTCAAATATGTGCCGTAAACCAATGTTCACCAGACACTGCTACATTATAGGAACAAAAACTTATTTTTTTTTTTTTTTGGAAATATATTGATGGATTTTATTTTTATCTTTTATTCGATCTCATTTTCTTTTTCATTTTTTCGATAGATATATTTTTTTGTTTGTTATATGCAATTCACATCTATATAGGTAAGATATAGATATATCCAATTTATTGTCGAAAGATCATGGTGTATGTGCTTGTTATTGAAAAGGATTATATGTATTGAGGGGTAAGGGGAGAATAATAGATTGATAACATCGTTTATTTGTTTTATTTGACATTATAACACCAAAAAACAGGAAAAAAAATTTGGAATGAGAGCACTTTATATCTTTATTTTTTTTTTAAAAAGGATTCGAATTTGAAAATATTTTTTTATTATTCAATTTCATCTTTTGACATTATACATTTTTATCATCTGAACTTTGGTTGTCTCGGTTTGTTTTTTAAAGAATATTTGCAAAATACTTTTATGTAGATTTATTTCCTTTTGATTATTATGCAGCATTAGAAAGCACAGAAAGCATGACTTCGAAATATTTTATATCTTTTTTTTCCCTCAACAATAAAAAGTATTTATAAACATAATTTTAATTTGGTATTTATATCCTCTTTATTGAGGGTAGAGAATGCAGAATGCAGAAAGGAAGCATAAAGGAAAGGATAGCACAAAGCAATAAATTTCACATTTATATGAAAAATTTAGTTATTTTTTCGTATTTCTACATTCAATTATACATTATTATAAATATATATATCTTGTTATACCATACATAGTGATTCATTTCTAAAGAATAATGCAAGGGGATAACAACATATTGGGACAAGATTTTTGACCAAACTTGGTTTACTTATTGCAACCAAACCTAGTCACAGTCAACATTTTCATATTTCTATTATTTTAGGTTACAATTTCGTCCTTAACTCTGTCACCACGATTAAGGATTCTCTACTATTTTAAATAGATTTTTATCAGCAAAACCTTTTCTCATTATGTTGTTATCCCCCTGGAATAATGTCATAAGCGTATATAATTCATAAACTTTCTCTGTTCCTTTAGAAAATGTCGAATGTTTGACTAGAACTTTTCCTTTTTTTTAATACTATCGTATCATGTCTTTTATGTTCATTTTAAAAAATGTAAATAAATAAATTACACATAGCCAAAACTATAAAGTTTCCTCCTTACTAAAGAGTATTATTTTGAGATTCTCTCTTCTACGTTTTATTAATGTAAAGTCTAATAAATAAGTTTCGTAAAGTTTAAGGGCATTTTCTGTTGTATAACTTTCTTGTTCCTTAATTTATTAGCGCATTTTCTCGTGGGAATGGTATTTGATCGATACTTTGTTTTGTCTGGGATGTCTGAAGGATATAACAATGACCTGAATATATTTCAATTTAAGTCAAACTTAATCAGAAATTAATTAACATGAATAAATTGAATTTTATTCTAAAGTCAAGAGTTCGAATTTAAAAAATATATAAATGGAATTATTATTAGTGTTCAAAATCTCACCAAATTTTTCACGAGCAAAAATTTTTGTGAGCAAATTTTTTTAAAAATCTCACGAGCAAATTTTTCGTGAGCGGCTCACGAAAATTTTGCTCGTGAGATTTTCAGCTCGCGAGCCGAATTTTGCTCACGAAATTGCTCACGTGAGCCTACGTGAGCAAATTGTGACGTAATTTTTCAAAAAATTTCTATGAATAAATTTGTATGAAATTTCTTGTTATGGGATGGTTCTTCAGAATGGATGAAGCTTTTGCCAGTGACTTTTCATGACTTTGCTGGATAATTTTGAGTATGCAGGACCTTCTTGTTCCTGAATCTTGACTTGTTGCTTGGATTTTTCCTTAATTTTGCTTAGAATCATTTCCAAAATCATAGGAGCCAATGATGGAAATAGATGTCAAAACATTCTTACAATACTTTTGAGACATCTCATATGGAACTGGTCATGTCCAACTGGGTGGAACTGCCGAAAATTTTTTTATTATTTTTCTATACTTTACAGACACTTTTGGGCAGGGGTTGGAACCAAGCACTTCCGTTACTTCCAGGTCCAATTTTCAGTGCTTACTATGTCAAGGAGGTTTCGAAACATCAGGAAATCACAAAACTTTCAAAATATTCAGCAGTTCAATTCACAAGTTTTGTGTTTTCCTGATGTTTCGAAACCTTTTTGACATAGTAAGCACCTAAAATTGGACCTGGAAGTAACGGAAGTGCTTGGTTCCAACCCCTGCCCAAAAGTGTCTGTAAAGTATAGAAAAATAATAAAAAAATTTTCGGCAGTTCCACCCAGTTGGACATGACCAGTTCCATATGAGATGTCTCAAAAGTATTGTAAGAATGTTTTGACATCTATTTCCATCATTGGCTCCTATGATTTTGGAAATGATTCTAAGCAAAATTAAGGAAAAATCCAAGCAACAAGTCAAGATTCAGGAACAAGAAGGTCCTGCATACTCAAAATTATCCAGCAAAGTCATGAAAAGTCACTGGCAAAAGCTTCATCCATTCTGAAGAACCATCCCATAACAAGAAATTTCATACAAATTTATTCATAGAAATTTTTTGAAAAATTATGTCACAATTTGCTCACGTAGGCTCACGTGAGCAATTTCGTGAGCAAAATTCGGCTCGCGAGCTGAAAATCTCACGAGCAAAATTTTCGTAAGCCGCTCACGAAAAATTTGCTCGTGAGATTTTTAAAAAAATTTGCTCACAAAAATTTTTCCTCGTGAAAAATTTGGTGAGATTTTGAACACTAATTATTATGATATCAAAATATTCTTGCCTCCTTTTTTGCTCAAATAATTCAAAAATAACCATCCAATAAGAAAATGCGCCATCATTACTCAACAAAGTCAATAATTCACTTATCAATTTACTTTTCCATCCTCGTTCTTACTTGGAAATGTTAAGAACAGCACTCAGTAACGGATCCCAAGAGTGACTCAATTCAACAAATAACTTTTCGCAATGCTTCTGTTGTGGACAATCATTCTCGGTTGCAATGCTGATGGGGAAAGCGTCGTCCTAGATTTTTTGTCATAGAATAATTAAAAATTAATAATTCATTCGTAGAAAATGACATAAAAAATCAATTTACCATTTTTGAATGCCATAAATTCTCGAGTGCCGAGAGAAATCTTTGCATTTCTGAGCTTGTTGAGAAGAATAGAACCAAATCGTCAAAGTTTTCTCGAACTTCTTGACATAAAAATTCCTATTTAATAAAATTGAAAAGAAGAAAATTGAAATTTATTCGTACATAATTAAATGCTAGTTTATGCTTACCAAAATACACCACCAACTTTCCTCGTCCTGAGCAACTTTGATTGAAATAAGTTCCTCAATGGAAGCACAAGTGAGCACTTCAATTCCAGAATTTTTTCCATAAAAACTTGTCATATTTGTATGACTTTGACTCTCGTCGTAATTACTTTTCTTTGATAATTTTGTGGGTGTGCTGCACATTGTCGAATTAGAGCGACAACTTCGACTTGGTGTACTAGCACTCGATCTAATGGAACTGACTTCACTTGATGTATCTAATATTGTTGAACTGCTCAACTTTCTTGTTAAATTCGGTGCACTGTTCTCTTTTGTAAAGAAGGAATGATGCGGTGAAAGAATGACTGGTTGTTGAAGAGTGACTCGCCTTAAGGGCGATGAGAAATCTTCTCGTAATGTTATCAAATGATTTTCCGTCATGATTAAAGTACATCCAAGAATTTTTGGTTTCTCATTAATATCAAAGAATCTGCTTGCTGCATGCACAACAGATTGTAGCCAATCTGAGCATACGTATTCATCTGGTGCTGCCAGTTGCAATGAACCAGAGCGGAGTAAAATTTCAAAGCAATGCGGTCTATTTGATGTCATACATCTTCGAGCACCTTGACATTCATTTGGTAAACTAACCGCCCAACTCGGTATCCTTTGAGTTGAATCATTAAATAAATAGAGAACGCCTGCTTTCAACATGAAATATCCAGCAGACCATTTCTGCACAACACCAGCATGCGATAAATTACGATGCATGAAAAATCCTTGTAATGTCGGTCCTAATGGCTCATCTTCAACACCCAAAATCGATGCTGGTATGTTAACAATTGAGTAATATTGCCATATATCCGACTTGCTGACAGACGAATTATTACACACAAAGGACTGTAATGGAGCAAAATGATCGAGTGTAAGTTGACCAACTGCTGGAAGATAAAAGCCACCTCGTCGTGCACACATTTCTAAGCTTGAAATGAGTTTTTCTGCGGGATATGGGCCACATGTTAATAGAACTTGTTGCATGTCTCTCGCCGTATTACTCAATAATACCGTATTTCCCATCGGTCCCATAAGTATGACATCAAGTTCAGCATATGGCAAGACAAACTTATTACAAAGTTCATTACGGATCAATTCAACGACATAAATAGTTTTATCAGTCAGGAAAACTACAACGGCACACATATAACCCTCATTACTATAACCAGTGTAAAGCTTAAAAGCTTTCATTAGCACTTCACTTTTATCTCTAAATATCTTGAGATTTTTCTTATTAAATAATTCAATTCGAATTTCTCCAATCCCGCTCTCGTACGATAAATCTTCATTATTTGAGCACACCGATGACCGATTACTCTTACTACCACTACATGACTGCTCCTCTTCATATTCCAAACTATTGCAACCCATCTCAACTTCCATATCAATTTCATCATTAAGATCCTTTATCACCGACTCATTTCTTGGCTTAACTCCCTTCACATAAAGATTTCCACCGAATAATTTTGTCTCATTTTTCAATTTAGCTTGAAAGAAGCTATTACGTTTGATGGATGCCTCGAGAATTTTCTTTTGTGTCACATTCCTTAAGAATCGATTGATGAGAGAAGTTTTGGAAGATGTCGATGTTGTCGATGATGTCATTATAGATGGCAATTTAAGATAATAGTTGCTCGCATTTGGATTACTTTCTATATCATTTTTTACGTCTGAGTAGTCGACAATGACAATATCATTGCCACAATCTAAACTTTTATCTGTATTGTCTGTCGTAACGGTTAGAATATCATCAAACTCATCCGAGAGTATTTTATTTGGATTTTTCACACTTTGTAAATTTGATCCAAAGAAATCTCGATTAAATAGATCTGGACTCATTCGTGCTTGATTAATTCTCTCTCGACTAGCGTCTACTTTTCGTAGAGGCGATGAAATATGTCGTGATGTCTTTTTACTCGTCATTTTAATATCATAATTTTGTGGCAAGCTTGCACTCGTATTCGAGCTTATGTCAGAGATGATTGATGAATTTTTATCACTTGATATTGACGTTATACTTGACTCCATATTATTCTTAGACTTTTTGTTCTCATCTTCATCAATCTCATCGATGTCTTGTTCATGGTATGCTTCCTTCTCCACATCGATAATGCCTCGATCATTGTCAAGTTTAGTTGGCGCATTTCCAGCAATTGAATTTAAAATGTTGCTAATCTTAGCTTTAAATGGATTGTAATTTAATGGAGATGATGATAAGATTGTTGATGAAGAAGAATCTTGAGAGCTTTTCCGCACATGTGGAATTTCAACCGTACCCGTATGCTCAAAGACTGTACTCTCACAATTTATGATATACTTATTACGTTGCGGATTGTTTCCACATGACGAAGTTAAATCCTCTTCTGCTTCCTTTTCTTCAATTGAGCTATCTGTTTTCAAGCTATTCTTTCGACTGTTTGAATTACTTGGAGCAAAAAGATCATCTTCATTTGCACGACGTAATTGTTCATCAACATTGTGAACAAAGTTTTTGTTTTGTTTGACGAAACCACCATCAAGACTTTTCGACAGACTTTGAACTTTCTCGGGATTTGGTTTAAAGATTCCGACTTTGTGCAAGAATGAAAAGTCTTTCTTTGGTGATTGTAGCTCTTGTGCTTCTGGTGCTTCCTCTGATCCTTCCGGTACACCCCTCTCGGGTAGTGATATTCCTAGGAAGTCTTTTAATGAGCCAATTATCATCTTTCCATTGTCTTTAATCACACTTGAGCTTAATTGATGGATATTAAATTTCTTAACATTTGATTCAAATGAATTTTCTTGAATTATTTCAGTTCCTTTACTTTTCTTTAAACAGCTAGTCTTTGGCTTCTTCTCCTTATTCCACACAGATCTCTGTTGGATATTTGGCTCCGAAAAATAACATGTTCCTTTGCCAATTTCAATTCCATTTTGTGAACTCTCGATACAGTCACACGAACTTGATTTAGATTGCTTATAATTACATTTTTCATCTGATTTTGTGTCATTGCTGCTGCTGCTATTGTTCGAGTTATTCTCACTTGAACTGCCAGACTCAATAGACGATGAGCTTGAGCATGTACAGCGATAAAATCTTTTCGCATTTAATGGTGGATATTCAAATATACCAGATTGATCATATTTTACATTTTCTGTATCGTCATCGTCCTGAACGTCTGTTTTACCATAATCGAGTACTTCAGAGCATGCATTACGGTAAACGTGATGTCCAGTTTGGTCTTTTCTATCGTCATAAGTATCAAGTTCTTCATTATTATATTCTGAGCACCATGAGTATCTTGTCGATTTTACATTTCGTCCTTTATATGTTATAAATCCATGTTCAATGTGAATATTATCAGTTCTTGTGCTATTTAGAATATCTTCGTGGAATGAGACACGCTTCTTTGGCGCTGATTTTGATTGCTTCTTAATCTTTCGTCGGTAAACAATTTCAGTATTTTCAGTGTCGAATGTTGAGTGTATGCTTGATATCATGTCAGCATCACCAATTGATGAAGTAATGTCTGGATGCTGTGCTGAACATGCTATATCAACAATTCTTTCATTATCTTCATTATTATTTTCTATATCACTTTTAGAAAGAGTATTTTTTGTAGCAAAAGCTAAGAGATCAGGAAGTGCTGATGCTGATGATTCGGATGCAATTGAAACAAAATCATTTGATCCTGATTTAACACAATCATTTGATGGTTCAAAATCTAGTACGGCACTTGATATCATGGAATCATTAAGGTCAGTTTCAGAGTCCAGTAATTGCACCCCTGAATCTTGTGTAGGGGAATCTGCATCGTCATTTAAACTACTTGTCATTTTCTGCTTTAAATCTTTATCATTAATAGCTTTTGTGGACTCTTGTGGTGCTGCAATAGCATCTATAAATTTATTGACATAAGTTCCCAAAGTTTTTAGGGGAAAATTCAACATTTTCTTACCATTAACTTTTGAATAGTCATAATTTTCAAGATCACACATTTTTAACTATATTTATTTAACTTCTTTTTAAGCCTCTGTGATATTAGCACTAATTTGTTAATTTAAACATACTTTTTAACTTAATTAAGGAATAATGAAAGAGAAATTTAAAATTTTCACTTCAATTTTTTTGTTTTTTAAAAATCAATAAGAAAAGGTGTCGTCAAGTATTACCCAAGAGCTGATTTTCAATGTTGTTGTAGCGGATTTAATTTATATTTTGTATTTATGACTTAAATTGATATTGTCATGTAGTGATTTGATATTGGTTTGATAGATTTTTGTTGACTAAATCGTTTGGCTGTTGAGATTTTATAATATTGAAGTTTGTAATGGCTGAAAGTTTATGGAAGGATAGTTTCTGAAAAGCCGTTTTGGAGAATTTTGCGAAGCACAATTTTAGCAAGGGTTACATGCTAAAATATGAATCATGTAAGAAGGAATTCCAACATAAAGTGGGATTCTCTTAAATAAAATTTGTTTTGTTGATGACTTTCTACTGATTTGTGTTTTTAAACTTACCATTTTTAAAGCTATTTCGCAAGATTATGATGACAAAGTCCAAATATAGAACCAGATCATTCCATTTCAAAATTGATGAATTTGAAAAGATCATAAATGAGTCATGCAATCTTCAAATAAAAACGCATTCATCTCCACATCCAATTAGTAATCACATTTATTTAAATAAAATTTTTAACATGAGATAGAAGCAATTTCCCCAACTTAAATAATATCATACAGTTCATCACTGTCTCAGATCACCTATTAATTCTTAGTCTTGCTTAATTCCCTAGCAAAATTGTCCAAGTTTGGATAGAGAGTTGGTGCACCAGTAAAATAATCTTTGTTAACGTACATCTTTGGCTTAAATTCATCGGAATTGAGGATTCCTTTGCCTGCAGACTTTGCTGTTGACTTGACGAGGCCTTTTGGTGTTAGAATGTTAAAGCTTTTGTTAACTGCCCATAAATTTCCGACTGTATCGAATCCTTTTTCTGAAACTTCTCCGTAAGATTCACCGTACTTGTGCTTAACAATTTTAACGGAATTATCAGCCAAGTTTCGTCCCAAAATGCCTGCACTAGTCTCTAAACCGCCATAAATTGTAGAAATAGCTTCAGCAGCTCCACTCGCAATCTTCAATGTCTCAGTCATTGTCACTTCTGCCTGTGAAGATTCCATTCCGACTGTATAGCTTAATAGTTTAGCTCCTTGCTGCTGTACATGTGGTGCCAAGAATTTACCGAAAGAAGTCATTGCACCCCCAACTTTCTCAGCTAAAAACGACGTTCCTTGTGCTGCATATCCAGTCACAGATTTAGCTACTGTCACTGAAGTGTTGACTTTTTCAGAAACTGGTTCTGGACTTTCTGCTTTTTGCATTTTAGACAGAATGTATGGAGTAGAGTAGTCAATAAATTCACCAGTTTTTTGAGCACTTTTAACTAATCCCTTTGAGATCCAGAAAGCACCAGTAACAATATTTTCAGACAATTTATCGCCTGTAGATCTAATAATTCTGGACGGTTCACCAATTTTGGTAAAATCACCAAATTCAATTTCTCCGTCTTCCTTAACAACACCTTGTAAGATAGTCACCAAAATATCCAAGACAATATCATCAAATTCCTCAGAAATCATCATTCCAATAGCTGATCCATCATTACTCTGCAAATCTGGCAAGACAAAGGCTTTAAACTTGGTACGGAATAAAGGAGAAACTCCTGGAATCAATGGATATACAAATGATGGATCTTGCTGCTGTTCTTGAACATCCTTTTCATTTTCTCTGGATGTTGAGCATTCAGCAACATCTTGTCCAATCTCAATTGATGTCTCTGACGTTTTAATAAGCTGAAGGAAGATAGTTTCATCGAGATTCTTCTCAAAATCGGATCCAAGTCTTATAATTCTCAAAACATATTCCTCAAATGAGCTCACAACTTCTCCATTAGCCTCAATATAGTATAATTGAACACCACCACAACAGAATAAGATCTCTAAAATATTTTCACGGGTTTCAGCACTTTGTTGGACCTTCCCAATGTCCTTTAAGACACTTTCAAGTTCATTGTAAGTTCTAGCGCGTCTTTTTGGCGACCCATTGGCTGTTGTGTCTTCTGCTTTTCTTTTCTTTATAAATGCTGCATTGTCTTCATCTTCCTTCCGACGATAAATGGTTCCTATGCGTAATAGAATCTCTGACCTTTGCATTTTGAAGTTGTAGATGATTTTCTTCAGATCTTTTATCTTTTCATTGATTTCTTCAGAATCTTGATTATTTGGAAAGGAAATTGGTATATTCATAGCTTTATCAATCAGTTCTATGGTTGTTTTGTATGTCTTCAGTGCCTACGTAATGAAATCAAGCATTAATTCGGGTCATATTACAGCTAAATAAGCAAAATATCAAATTACTTACCGATTCTTCATCAACTGTCTCTTGTTCGATGCCATTTGACAATAATTCGAGACATTCTTCGTAAATCTTCTTGAAATTATCGAAATTGGCATTAAATTCTTGGATATCTGATGTGCTCATGTTGCTAGCTTGACTTGTTAATTATTTTATTTCAAGGATTTCGCAATAATTTGGAATTATTGATTTTTTATGCTTTCAAACTGTATTCTTAAGCTTCTTTTGATTTAATCGAGTAACTACTACTAAACTGTCATCGAAAAGAGTATTTGCAGCTTATATCAAGCTGTTGTGGTCTGTTAAAATAATTAAAACTGATAAAACAACTCAACAACAAAAAGTGATTTTTTAGCAACCTAATTCAAATTTATTCTGACGGTTGGAGATGAAATTTGTGTCATACAGACAAATAAGCTAATGACAACAATTTTCTAAGCTTCTTTTATTAATTAATTTATTTTCACTGATTTTGAATATAATAACACTAAATGACAATCTTATTTGATGTTCTCAACCATCTTTAGGATCGCATCAGCTGATACATTAGTCAAAGGAACGCTTTTCTCCTTGCCAAGCTCTGAAAAATCATAAACATCCATAAGATCCAGTAATCTTTCATTAATTCTCCTATTCTCTACTCACCAAATCTTGTCCATAATCGTGGTTGCACGCCACTACATTCTCTGACAAGGATCGGCAATTTTGGATTATCCTTTTTGATATTCACATAGTGTTTCTGTACAAATTCACTATAAATTTGAAACATTCAAGAAGTAAACAAAAATTATGTTGCATAATAAGACACAAAATAGATATTTACCGAGCTCCTTGTGATTCAGGACCTGTCTGACATAAATGAAGACGTAATTCCTTTACTTGTGGACCAAATTTAAGATTTCTAATGAGCGACAAACGCATTTTTCTGATGTTTTTCTTTATTTTCTTCTTTCGGAAAATATTTTCGCTTCAATTGCGGTGAATTTGTGGTGAGTTGAGAAAGGGGGAGCCTTAGCACTGTGAATTGGCTGTAAAGTTTGTAATATTCTATTTTAAATCGTCATAAAAGATGTTCTTGAGAATCAAAACTTTTAATATTGTAACAGCTTTCTGAGATTTAAATTGAAATTAGACTGGGGCGAATTCAAAAAGTACTAGAATGATTCAAAATTCAAAATTCCGTTAAAATTTTAAAATCAAGTTTAACTCTCAGCACCTGAAAAAACAACACTGAAAGTTGAAAATTAAAAAATGCAGCATCTACTTTTCCATGAAATTAGATATACTTTTATTATCATTATCTTTATCATCTCTTTAATGTAATTTAATTCAGATTTCAGTGTGTATATGTATGTGTGTTTATGTTTTCGGTTGTTTGTTTAGAAAAAGAACAAAAAAGTCAAGTTATACAAAGTATTTATGAACCTTGTTTTAAACTAAATGTTATTACAATTTCTCACACATTCTATGATTCTAACTAGTTACATTAATTGCTTAAAAGTTACAAAGAAGAAAAAAGGATTAAAAATGTCTCGTCCACGTCCTTCAGTTTCTCAATAAAATGATAAAATTGAATGAATTTCTCTTTAAAATGACAAAGAAAGCAGCTTTAAAGTTAATAATTAAGAGCTAAAATTGTTGAATTTCTCCAATTCGTGGGTAGATTGCGATTAGTCCTGCTATATAAAATAAGATAAAATATGAGAGAGAACAAAAAATCTAGGAATTAGTCGTAGTGTCGTGTTTTGGGTGGTGTGGTAAATGATGAAAAACCTAGTAGAGTCCTCAATAAAGTAAAAACTTCACTTGTTTATTCACTAAATTTTTATTATTATTATTTTTATTTAATCTTCATCTTCTTGAGGATTCTCTTCAGTCACACACCGCGAGCGAATTATTCTCAAATGTAGATTTTTAATTAATTGAAATATTGATGAATGTATGAAGCACAGTTTCTTTTTGACACTAAACTTGATTTTTTTGCATATTTTTCTCCATTAAATTTAAATTTTAATATAGAATATATTGTATAAGTTCCATTTCTCGTAAATGTTCTGCGATTTATGTTAATTTAACCTTTTTTTTATGTTTTCTCACTTAATTCATGTTTTTTTCGGGCAAAAAACACTGCACTTATATCTTAAGTTTCTTATTTTTTTCTTCATTTAGACTATAAACATCAAATATATCAAATGTTCCATGTTTAAATGTTCATCCATTAGTGTTTAGAAAAATTAATATTTTTTTTTTGGATTTTTGAAAGTTTTTTTTTATGTTTGAATTAAAGTTTATAGGAGTGCATAAAAAGTCCCACCGTATTTATTTTGTTTCACTCTGTTTCCACTTAAAATATATATTTTTTTTTGCATTTTTTTAACTTTTTGTAGTATAATGTTCATCGAAAAATGTTTGGGCCACTTCAAACTAGCGTTAAATGTTTATATTTTTTTATTAATTGTAATTTTACTTATTTTTTCATGCAAAGGTTCATGTTTTTGCTCAATTTAAGTGCTTAGTTTATTATTTTTTTCTATGCAACTTGTTTTTTTTTTCTTTTAATTTCCTTAACACACTTAGTTATTATGATTCATTGAACGAAAACCGCCACGTCCACGAGATCCACCACGATCCTAGAATGAAAGATTGTGATTAAAAAAGTTGAAAAATTAACGGTTAAGAAAAGTTTGAAAAATAACGGTTTAAAAAAGTTTGAATAAATGCGTGAAATTTTCAAATATTTTTTAACCGTTATTTCTTCAAAGAAGTTCCTTCGAAAGCAGTCATTGTGCCTTCAAGACACTAGAAAAAAGGACAAAGAAGACTTACCGAGCGATATCCCCCACGATTTCCGAAGTCATCATTTTGTTGATAATCTTTTGATCGATAAATTCCAGGTTGGTCACCATTGCGATCGTTTCTATCATTACGAAAGTCGTTTCTCTTATTATGATAGTTACCTCGTCCGTTATTGAATGGTTTAAAATCGTTATTGTAGCCGCCTAGAAAATTGAATATAAACAAGACATTCGATATTAAAAGAAACTGGGTTAAAGCTGCTTATTTCGTTCGCAAATAGATTACGGAGGAATTTCGAGCAGAAATAAAATTTCCAGACAGCAAATGAGTCATAGATTACAATTATAGCATTATTGGTGATTATTGATTCCAAAGAAGCTTAACTCATCAATAAAAAGCAATCTATACATCCAAATGAGCTTGAAACAACATGTCATGACTCATTTCATAATTAAAATCTAGGAAAACATAATCATATCTCGTGCTCAACTTAATGATAAGTCCCCTATTCGCGTGCATCACACGATTACATGCCACAGCACGAAAAGTCGTGGAAGAATTGTTTCAAATCCCACACGAAGTTCTACAAGTTTTTGAGCGGAGGAGGATTGAATTTGAGTATTGCACGTGAATTGTTTCGAGATAAGCATTGAATAAAATGTCAGGATGGAAATTATGTCAAGCATGCAATTTGTGTCAGGAGTTATTGAGCACAGCTTGACATTATTCTGATGCTTAATTAGATTTTGTGGAGTATAAACGGTCATTTTGGGTTTGAATGACAAAACCACACAAATTCACCTGAGAAACATTTGTAGGGTTCTCAAATTTGAATTCAAAAACCATACAAATGTTATGAAAATTGTAAGGTTCTAATGGTCAACCCTCATTCACAATTTAAATTTTAGAACCCTGCAAATGTTTCTCAAGTGAATTTGTATGGTTTTATATTTAAATTTGACATAACGGTTAAAATACACTTTTGAAGTCACATTTCTAAGACCGACAAAATGAAATGCATAAGCAGAAATCGCAAATTTAACAAGAAAATGCTCTGCTCACCAGTAGACATTCTACATACACTCAAACACAAAATATGAATTGGAAAGTGCTTGTGTTTGTGAAGTGTCCAAAAGGTAAAAATTAAAGCATTAAAAGACTCACCGGAATTGTATTTATTAAAACTGTTTCCGTTATTGAAATTTCCTCGATCAAAACCTCCACCTCCGTTATTATAGTCGCGATCAAATGATCTACCGCCTTCGTATTGTTGTTGCTGTTGCTGACGCTGATTATTTTCGCGATTATGTGTCGAATGGTGACTTGCTGGCAATGTCATGGGCTTTTGATAGCCACCATCATTTTCATTCTTACGAGTATCTTCCTCTTCCTGACGCTTTTCGTAATGCGTAAAATCGTCAAAGATCGATGTCGTATGCTTATAGCTGTGTATAATCTTCAAAATTGATATTCCATGTGAGTTTGGAACTTCTTGTGTGTCACGTGAATTAGTAACTGGCTTATTCTCGTTATTTTCTAAACGAATATGACGCAATTGTGTATTTGGAACGTCTTTAACATAAACCCATTTAACACGGAAAGATCCCTTCCATTTGTCTTGTGACCATACGCTTGAATTGGAATTGTAATCGACGGGTGTCATCATCTGTGCAACGCCACAGAAATGACCTGAACTGTTGACTGAAAAGAACAAATAAATAACGCCATTTTCCTTTTCACGTTCACGGAATGCTTGATCTAAACGTTTGTTTCCATGCTCGGTTGAACACCAAATTTCATACTTGATGCTACGATGAATATCGTCCTCTGAATATGATTTGATTACAAAGAATCTGCAAATAGACAACAATCTTGTTTACTTTCTCGGAATTAATTATGACGTGATACATGCAATTTGGCACAAAAGGTGAATCTGACGTGTAACTTGTTTTCATTTTCTATCTAGCTAGCTAGCATCGAATAAATAATTAATGAATCGATTGAATAACAGATTTATTCAAAGACTATGAGAATGTATTTCTAGAGGAAGTGAATTTATATTCTTGGTAAGCTGTATTGGGAGAATGTTAAGTGCACAGCTGTCACTAAATTGTAGTTTTCGAGAAGATTTTTGAGATGTAAAACCGTTAAAAAAATTTTGAAAAAATACTATCCTTAAAATGTGTCTCGACTAAATTTAAATTTCAGAAAAAAACGTTATAAACGGTACGTGTCTTGATTAAACTTAAATTTCATAACTGTTAAATCAGTTTATATGCTCAAAATTTAGTTTTAACTGACACTGAGAAGGAATAGTCAGTAAAAACTTGAACTCACCGTGCATTGTCAACCAAGGACAAGTCCAAATCAGATGGATTATATTGATTCTTGACACGTAATTGATCCAAAACGTTTTCATCAATCTTTTCAATCGAAGAACCTTTATTAAAGTCGTTTGACGATGAAGTTGACAATGGTGCTGGTGGCACTTGTTGTTGCTGCTGCTGTTGTTGTTGTTGTTGTTGTTGTGGAAGCGGTGCCTGCATAGAACGAGTTATTGGTGCTTGATCGTACTTTTGTGGTGGAGCTGTGGGCATTTGATTTGGATGTTGATGATAAGGTTTCTGGTAATCATTATAGTTTGAATTATTATAGTGTTGATTTTGGCCAGTATTTTGATTATATTGACGTCCGTGATAATTGTTGCTGTTGCTGCTGTTTTGATTACTATTGTTCATCTGATATCCACGTTGCTGATTGTTGTTCTCATACTTATCATACTTATCGTACTTATCGTATTTATCGTATTTATCGTACTTATCATATTTATCATATTTATGGTTGTTGCTGTTATTATATTGTGGCTGTGACTGAGCTTGTGAATTATGATTATTATTATTAGAATTTTGAGAATTATGTTGTTGTTGTTGCTGTTGATTTCCTTGTTGCTGATCCTTTACTTGCGATTCAGCTTGTCCTGGTGTTGGCCAATTTGGTTCACCATCAAAATTCGAATTTTGCTTATCGAGTGACAAATCAACGGGCGGTGCCGTTATAATTGGTGGAGAAGGTGGAACTAATGGATTATTCTTCGGTGTATCCCAACCATCATTTAATTCCATACTATGTTTACCCGGAATCATAGGCGGTGGTGGAGCCTTATTATCTGTATAATTCTTATTGATTCCTGGACCCTTCTTCTTAATTGTTGTACTTGCATTTATCTGAGGCTTTGCTGGTTGACTGGCAATTGTTGCCCAAGTCATTTTCTTCGGTTCTTTATGTTGTTCAGCATTGTTACCAGACTTTTGGTTACCAGACGATCCATTGTTATTATCGAAACGCAAGTTTTGCATTCGTTGCTCAATTTTATTACCGCCATCATGTTGTTGATAATCACCTCGATTGCTGTTTTGATTATAATAATCATAAGACTTTCTCACATTTTGTCCACCCCATGAATTATCATTATTGTATCCTAAAACGAGACACAAAGATATAATTAATTGAAGAATTGAGAAACAGACGCTTTGCGGAGCCAAAGAAAATCGATTCCATTATCAGTCAACAGGAACGAATAAACTCGTGCTAAGTGATTGACCTGAATCTAGACTATTTCGGTCAGGGACGGATTTTAGGGGGCTTTTGAGGGTCAAAACACAGATTCTCATGCAGTAAATGAATTGAAGAAGAAGATGACTAAAGTTCAACGTTCCTTACACAAAGTGAAAATCATTATCGTCATTTATTAAAGAGCGTCAAGGCTAATTGAAGTAAAATTCCCATAAAGCTGACTAAAGAAAGTCATTATTGGAACTTGTTGAATGAAGTATCCATTAATACACATATCACTCTGCTGTTTGATTTATGGAATCCAATAACTCTTTATTATTTCACTTTACATATGAATTAGTGAGAGAATGAAGCTTCGAGCGCATTCTTTTACGACTTTGGATTCTTGTTCACTTTAACGGATGTTCGTTTAATTGGATTATAAATCAAACAGTCAGTTATAATGGCACTTATGGTATGAGGAATTTTAACGGTAATTTTGAGTTTGAATGTTGAAACTCTTCAAATGTTTCAAAATGGTCGTTATTTTTGAATTTGAGAACCGTACAAATGATTTTCGTGTTTCATAACCATACGAATGTTTTTGAGAACTTTACAAATGTTTCAAAAACCACTTCAAATGATTCAAAATGACAGTTAATTGAAGCCCTAAAATTCTACAAATCCTTCAAAAAGCAACAAACATTCAAGTTTTCTCAAACATCCAATAATAAACAGATTCAGTTCTGGATATTTTGGCACATTTCCCAACGAGTTTTCAAACAGAAGAAGAATATGAATAGCACAGGATTGAATATTCATTTTCATGTCACTGACCTACAGATTTGCTGTTCAAGAGCGGACAAGTTAATATTCGTGGCATTTAATTACAGTCATTTTCACTCGAACAAGTAAATGACATTGATTGCATGTTTAACACCAAATTTTAGACAGTTTATAAGTCAATTAAGCTTCATAAGACAGGAGAAATGCGCTCAAGTCTCTTGTTTGTGTAATTAGAGTGTTTTTCTGATGATTTGTTTCCATAGGAAAACAATGGAGTGTATAGAATATAATAATTATTGTCATAAGTATGGAAAAAAGTGAATGAGGTCAGTTTATTGTCGCGTTAAAAATGTGAAAATAAGAAGAATGGAAAAAAAGCTATGCCATTTGGGAATAAGAGATAAGGCACAGTTGCTAATTTTGAACGTGTTACGCTGTCGGTTCCGCTGGATCTGAATTGATTTACAGCTAGCTTTTTCTCATCATACCGAATGATAAAGTGCGACTATCATAATTGAGTGCTTCTTTTTCGCATTGTTATAGCAATTAGAAGCGAAAATAGACGAGAATAAGATCAGAAAATATAATAATTTTGAGTGAGGTAACTGTAAAATCGCTGCTGTGTGTATTTGTATGATTTTTTTTTCTTTCTGTTGTTCCGTGTTTTCTGACTCAAAGTCTCTCGCTATGTTATCATCATTCTTTCTTCTTCTCGTTCGTTCTTTTCTTTCGCTTTCTTTTTTTATAGTCGCACCGCACAGAATGCTCATCTGCTGTGCACTGCATTTAATTCTTTTAAGGTTATTGCCTTTAGAACTTCCGAAATTGATGCTTATTATCATCATAAATAGTAAGAATCATCGTCCTTGACTAATTATTGTCATACTGAATGTCATAAAGATCCATTGGAGTCAAAACAAAGAGACAAAGCTCTAATAAGAAGCGAAAGTGAGTCATGAAAGGTGCGAATATGATAGGAAAAGTATATTGTCTAGTTCCTTTCTTTCATTAATACGAAATTCTGTATTTTCTTGGAATTTTGATCGAAAAAACTTAATAATTGCTCACCTTGATGATTTCCTTTATTATTCATTCGCTGGAAGGGAATAAAACACAATAACAATTAGAATTTTGGATAATTTTCACTCTTTTCTCTTTAAAATCGTATTAATTATAGCGGAAATGGAAAATGAACCTCAGCAAACATTAATGCACTTCAATAATCAATATTTTTAAGCTTTTACGTTTGAATTTCAAATTCACTGCTTTCTTTATAGTCTTTTTTAAGTGTTTATAGTCTTTTTTCACACAAATATAGTCTATTTAACTTATTTTTTCACTTTTTTTCGTGCCACTTAAACTTTTCCAAACAAATTTGATGAAAACTAGAATGGATGTTCAGTTTTTGCAACAAAATTCAAATTTCAAACAGCCGTTAATTTTTGCTCTCTAATTCGCTTCAGAATTATTCAATTCGCTCGTAAACAAAATCGCGTGTTTACAAAACATTTAATTAAACTAAAGGATGGCGAAGAGACCAGAGCATTTAGCACCACCAGAAATCGTAAGCACATTCATATTCTCTAGATTAACATCAATTGACTTTATTCCTTTACCAGTTTTACAACGATGATGAGGCAAAGAAATATTCACAAAAGTAAGTTCCGAAAAAACTTAATTTAATTCATTAATCTCATGACTTACAAATCTATTGTAGCACAAGAATAATCGAAATCCAGGAGGAAATGTCTGAGAGAGCCTATGAATTACTGCTTCTTCCTGAAGACGAGCCACAATTGATTTTGGATGTTGGTTGTGGAAGTGGACTTAGTGGATCTGTTCTTGAAGAAAATGGACATTATTGGATGGGAATTGATATATCACAAGCTATGTTAGATGTTGCTGTAGATCGTGAAGTTGAAGGAGATTTGTTATTAGGTGATATGGGTGAAGGAATGCCTTTTAAAGCTGGATCGTTCGATGGTGCAATTTCAATATCAGCACTACAATGGCTGTGTAATGCAGACAAATCACATCATGTTCCACAGAAGCGCCTTTATCAATTCTTTACCACATTATATGCCTGCTTGACACGAAATGCTCGAGCTGTATTTCAATTCTATCCAGAAAATGCAGATCAGATTGATATGATTACAGGTCAGGCATTAAGAAGTGGATTTCATGGTGGTGTAGTTGTTGACTATCCTAATTCATCAAAATCAAAGAAATACTATTTAGTATTAATGACTGGTGGTGTCCAACAGCTTCCAGCAGGATTAGGAACCGAAGAAAACAGCGAACAGATCCCGTACTCAAGAAAACGTGAATTAACAAAGAATATTCGAGGTAAAAATCCTAAAAGATCAAAGGACTGGATTATGCAAAAGAAGGAACGAAGGCGACAACAAGGAAGTGATACAAGAGCTGATTCAAAGTACACTGGAAGGAAACGTAGTGGAAGATTCTAAAATTGTAATGAAATTTATAAAAAGTCGTTAAAAAATATTTTGAAACTTGAATTCGCCCAAAATTGTATAACTTTTTTGTTTATATTTTTCATTCGAAACATTTTAGTGAAATTTTATCATTTCTACTCGTTTTAATTAAGATAGAATGATATATAGCTAACAAGTGTTGTTGTGAAAGATTTATAGTATAATTATCATCTTGATTCACCATGTATAGACTGAGAAATGAGACAAAAGTTTTAACAAACTTAATTTCAAGGAATTTTATTTCAAAGTCGAAAAATTTGTATGACGTCTTAGGTATTACACCTGCAGCTACTCAGGTAGACATACTAGCTGAATTAAAGACCTTAAGATTGCTTCCAATTGGCTTAATCAACGAATTTCATAGTTATTGAACTGTTCCAAAATTTAAATTTAAAAAATACGTTACAACCGTCAATATTTTGTCTTTATTTTAATAGAACTTTTTCCATTTCCAGGCTGACATCAAAGCAGCATACTATAAGCTATCAAAAGCTTATCATCCTGATACAGCTACTGACAAGTCGTCTGGTGATAATTTTAGAGCAATTACTGAGGCATATGAAGTTTTAGGGAATTATAGATTAAAGAAGCTTTACGATAAAGGCATAATACACACAGCAGGCAAAGATTATGCTCATCACTCGAGAGGATCTGAAAGAACTCAAGCATATGATGAGCCCGATCACGAAGATGATCCTACTACGAAATTCTACAAATCTAGACTGAGACAACAGCACACAGGCAAAGCTAAAGTATATGATTTTGATGAATGGACACAGTCACATTATGGAGAGACATTCAAGAATCAGCAGGAGACGAAAAAAAGGAAGGACTCTAAATCTAATCGGGATTTACGTCATACAGACAAAACTGGAAGTAGAAATGCACTTTTTGGTCTCTTAGCTGTTGTTGTGTGCTTTGTTATTATAGCTGAATATGTCAGTCACACACGCTTGGATGTTGTAGATCCAGCTTTAGTTAAATCAAACAAATCTAGAGATAATTGATGAATGTCTTGTGATTAATTTAACGGACATGAAATGTGTGAATTTTAACGGTTTTCATATTTTTTAATTCAAATTGTTTTTTGTGGCAAATGATTCAAAATTTTGAAAACCGTTAAATATTCAAATCTTGGAAATCCGGTAAAGTTGTCACGAGTCTAGCTTAATATTCCAATTATGTACATACGAAAAAGAAGTTTAATTTATTTTTCTCTCTCAATCAATATATTCTTTATTGTGTTAAAATCATTTCGACTGAAGAAATGGAAATACAAAGTATCTTAACGATTAGAAAAACCCTCGGCAGATATAATAGTCATAATTTGCATGTAAACTCTTTCTTTAATCTGGCAACATAAACATTTATAATGCTCTCTCTTTCCTAGTGCATGAGTAGCTAGTATGAAGGCCTCATTACAGGCATTGGATACGGTGGCATGTTCGTTGGATAAGGAGCAGCTCCATAGAATCCAGTATTAGGAGGTAGAAAATTGCTGTTTGTTGCATTATGATGAGCACCGCGTCTTAATAGTTCCTGCATCTTTTCTGCCTTCAATTTCCTCAAATGCATTTGTGTCCGTGCGACTTTAAATTGATCTAGAAACTCATCAATCGATAATTTACTGTTGAAAAAGTCATCTGAAATCTCATCACTCTTCTCTTCTGATTCTGCTGAGCAGGCTTGTAATCTTGCCAATACACTTTCGGGATCTGACGTATTTGATTTAGATTCTAGAAATAGAAATAGCAATTTTCAAGATTAAAATTCAACGGTTTGTCCAACTTTGAATTTTCTCGTAAATATATGCGAGAAATAAATTCAAAATAATTTTGACTGTTGAATTTTATTCTTATTTTCTTCTGTTAAGCGAGTAATATGCTTAAAAGATGATAAAATCAGCAACAAGTAATAGATTAATGATGACTCACTTAACTGAATTAACTTCGTTTGGACATTTTCACTTAAATTTCTAAATTCCTCGGATAAATCATTTATTCTGGATCGTAACTCTATCAAATTTGGCTCTTTCTGTAGATTACTTTCGGCTAATGTTCGATTCTCTGTTATAATCACATCCTTTTCGTTTTCAAGTGGCTTGAGCTGGATTTTAAGAATTAATTAAGTGAAAAATTCAACAAAGAAAACTTTTTCTTACAATTTGATCGATTCTCTCGTCCAATTTATCATCATCTCCAAATATTTCACGCAATTCATCTGAGCTCATGTATGATAATTGTGAGCTTCCATGATTTAGGAACTGTTGATACATTTTTCCTGCTTATTTTGACTTTTTAGGGCTGAATAGCTGATTCTCCTATTTTTACTCGAACTGACTTTTGAACTTCCGTGCAGAAATTTTACAATTTGCTCTGTCAATGGCTGGAAGTTGGGGCGAATTCAAAATTTAAATTCAAACACGTGGTTAACGGTTTTTAAATAAAATTCTGTTTGCATGTTTCGAGTTAAATAAGTTAAAATTGGAAATAATAATCCAATCTTCTTTATTATAATTATATCATCCCATAAATTACACATTTATAACCAAAAGTAATATAAAAAGTTAACATGAGTCTTAAAAGCTTAAAATTCTAATCAATGGAAATAGACTTTAAGTTCCTTTCATTCTCAATGAGCAGTTCCTTATTTAAGGAAGTTTTATCACAGTTATCGAGCATTAAAGCAGCTTGCTTCTCCTCAGCCAAAAAGTATGGTCTTAGTCTCACGAATTCCTTACAATGCTTTTCATGTAGCTCCTTTATAGACGGCATATCTCCACCGAAATCGCTTGGAAGTGACGACTTTGGGACGTGCTCCTTGTAGAATTTCTCCAAGTCAAGGCCAGAGGAATGTAGATGTAACTGTAAGGAAGTTTAATGTTGCTATATCACTCAGGTTCTCAATATCAAAAATCAACTTACGTTCTTCAATATTTCAGCTTTCATGAAAGGCTTGATCAGTGCTAAAACCTTGTCAAAAAAGTAGACAACATTAAAAACATGAATAGCTCGAAGCTTGCCTGGAACAGCCTCTTGTAAATATTGGAAGAATTTTCTTATGGACGAAACATTAACTCGTGTCAAGTGCATCAAACCGACACCTTTCATATCAAATAAGAATATAGCACCATCATGTGGACCATTCTTCTGAATGCATGAATCAATAGTCATAAAGAATGTTTTGATTGCCTCATCAAAGACGTAATCAGAAGCACGAGAACTTGATAGTCGATGAAAGACAACGACATCGCCCGTTGGAGTGTTTGGAAGATAAAAGTAGTCTTGATTTGCTAAGCACTGCTGAATTTTTGGATGAGTTGGATCTCGAAGTTTGAAGTGTTCGACATTTTTCTGTTTCATGGTGTAGTAAAGCTTACATACTTTGGCTCCTTCTTCTGCTCCTCCACATGAGTCTAGGAATAGTAGGAGCTGGAAATAGTACAGTTTTTAATCAGTCTTAAACGCAACGCATTATCAAAACTAATCCTTACTTGTTTGTCAGTTATAGACTTTGGTATATGCGGATATTGACTGACGAGATTTCTAATTGCATCAACATCTGCTTGTGTATGACCCTGCCTCTTTAAAGCCTCTGAATAGTCATATTCTAAATCAATATTCATATTATAATTTGTTCTTGTTGTGTGCGCTTCAATTCACGTTGCTGCTGTTAAGCAGTTGTCACTCGACTGAAATTAAAGTAATGACGAAAATGACAAATAATTAATTAGTATTCAAAGATACGCGGTAAGACTACTTTTTACGTCGAAATTGTTTATTTTAACCTTCGAAAGATCCACAATTATTATATTTTATGAAAGCTCAAGAAAAGTTGTCTTACTGCTGATTTAAAGCTATGGAAATCATGAAAATGTCAAGATTCAATATTCGGTTGATCAATTTACAACTTTTGTGTGAAGAAAGAAAGTCAACCGAGAGTGATTGTTGGTCTGAGAAGTATGATTAATATCAATTGTTAAGGGAGACGGATTTTGATTGGATCTTCATATTTTGTTGGGACTAAGAGACATTTTGTTCCTTTACTTATTTCTCAGATCGCAAAAACTCATCAATTTTCACTTTTTTAATTGTGAGTAATTCCGTAGCGTCTACACGGCACAGAAAAAAAGATGCACAGCGAAGAATGGACGAAAAGAAAAAGAGTCAGTGTGACATTGAACTTGATTCCGATTTCTTGTATTTTTTTCTTCTTTTCAATGTGTACATTTGTTAAATGTTTTAACGGAAAGCAAAAGTGCATTTTCTGGTTTTAACGGATTCATTACCATGTAAGATTACGTAATTCATGTTTTTTAGATCTACTGGAATCTAGTCGACCTTCAATTTATTTTGCAGAATATGCAAATGTTCTGAATGTGAATTCGCAATTTTTATTGAGTTTTTAATAATTCTATGTAAGAATGATTGGATAGAATGCGACAATAAGGAAGTGAGATATAATCTTTATGAGCTGAGCACATACCTATAATTAAGATTGTGTGTAAATCTGTTATTATTAATCGATTAATTTTCATGATGAAAATTCATTTTGAAATGTAATGTTGGAATTAATGGAAAGGAGGAGCTCTTAAGGCAATCAAATCTCTGCTTGGTCCAAAATATAAAACATTTTGAGAGACTTTTTAAAAAGAATCGAGGGTTGAGAAACTGATTAAGCGATTTTCGACAAACTTTTGATCATATTGATTAGTTCCTCACCATTATTTTAACATAAAGACTTGGTGAACAAATGGACAAAGAATGTTTTTAAAATTATTCAGAGGATAAGATGACAATTATCTGAGATAAATAAGTACAAATGTAAATAATGAGTCAGTAATCACTATATTTAGTATTATTGTTCATGATTCTATATTGTCTTTACAAAAAAACAAAATTCTAAGATGATTTTATGATATTCTTATTGGCTGGCATATTTTTGAATGTTGAAATGATGGAACTACATATTTTTAAGAATGTTTAGAATAATTTATCTTCTATTGACGCTGGTTAAAATTTGAGTTTTGCAAATATTTCTAAAATACGAATTATTGAAAGTTAATATAAATTTAATTGAAATCAAGGTTAGAACAAATTTTTTGAAACGACCGAAACGACATTAATCTACGCAATTAATTCTAAAATACAAACTATAAACAGGTTCCTTAAAAATTTATAAATTTATTCACTTTTGTAGTATCAACGTTCTTAAGATTTCATTAATTAGAATGTCATGAATACATGAACGTTTAGTTCTTTCAGATTCTCCTTTTTTCATGCAAAACAAAAACCTTTCAGTCTGAAAAAATGTCATGAACTCCCAACAAAGTAGAAAGTGAAATATTTCACGCTTCACATTAAATATTTTGGCATTTGCCTCAACAATTTTCATAAATCGCACAACATTTCTGAACAATGTGGAAGTAACATCATATCTACAAATGTAAATTTATCACAAAGTGCCGAAGAAAAAAGTCTTTTGCCGATCTAACCAATGATTGACAGTTCTCGATAGTTTTCGCTAGTTCCCAACTCTTTTGAAAAATATTGACTTAAAGACTCTAAGTGCCTTCATTCATCATATTCACAATATTGTACTCATATACAGAATTTTATGATTTCGTTAAAAATTTGTTTATGACGTCAATATTAATCTTTTAAAATTTTTTAACAAATTGGGAGTCATTCCTAAATGATGTCTGGCTTTTAAATGATGAGATTAACATCGCAAGTCATCTTAGGACTGGCTTCTTTGGCATTACAAGGTGCTCTACTCTAGTCACAGTCAAATTTTGTTTATATCTCATAGTGAAGCACACTGATTTTCAATTCTAGAACAGTTTAACAAAGCTAACCCTAGAAATGGATTATTATTAATAGCTATGGTCCTCCATCATTGGATATCATGACAATAAACCCTCTTCAAAGTCAATGAATTTATTCCAGAACATCCAATAAAGAGAAAAAAATTTGTGGCTTTTTGTTTCTCGTAATAAACACAGTTGTGACCGAGTCATGCAAACTGAGTACACGATCTTCATTGTCCTCCTTTACTCATCGCAATATTTATCTCATTTAAAATGTTTTTTTTTTCAAAGTCGGTAGAACAGATGAATGTGCTTCAATGAAACGAAAAATCAGCAAGTTTGGAAAAAAATATTGAAATTAAATTTTTTTAATGCATAAACAGATCGTTGTGGAAACATAAGTCAACTGGTATTGCATGCTATGTTTGCAATGACCCAATAACGTCCGTATTTGTTTATCGTTCACATATAGAACTGTTGCGCCGATCAAGCTTAACAGCGAAAAATACGATGAAAATGCATTTTTAGCACCTATTTGATGTAATATTGAATTTAGAATTGGTTGAAGAATGTTTGAAATGTTCTTGAGTGTTTCGATTGAATGAAGTTCAGTTTGAAGGAATTTAGAGTTTTTTTGGAAAGTTCACGGGGGTTCTCTAGCATTAGTTGATTGCCTTAATCTTAGCAAATTTTGTTTATTAAACAATTAAACTAGAACTAAGCACAAAGTTTTTTTTTGAAGTGTTTTTTACCAGAAAATCTTACAGATTCTAATAGTTGTTTATTTCATCTTTTAACCTAATGTCAGGTCAGCACTAATATCATGTCACGAAATATTTACCAAGTCAATTCAAACCTCCTTATTAATCACATCCATAACAATTGTTTCATTACTTTTCATACTTCCAGCACTTAAAGAACATTCTTGTTTACGCAAAAGCGTTAAAAAATTCTACCTTGCGTGATTTTTTTGGATGTAATTAATGCCTAATTGGCATAAATTGCTTAAATGTAAAGACAACAAATTAAAAACTGACATGCATTGTAAAGTCATTAGCAATTCCATAAAATTGATGACCTCAAAGGGTCCTCTTTGTAATACAAATTAGTTCGAATTTTTAAAATTGGAAATTTATTCAACTTTTTTATAGCAAGGTGAAGTTGATGGACTTCAGTCGACTTTTTAACATTAGAACAAAATGTCTTATCCACTTAGTGCCACTTTGAAGATTTAATTATTATTTTTAATTTACTAATTATTAAATCTTGTTAAAAAAATGCTAATTTTTGGCGAGTCTTACGTCACAAATTTTAAAACATATATTTTATGTCGTAATTTATATCATAATTAAGTCAATTCAGGTGATATTATTGCTTTAACAAAAAAACTCAAATTTTCTATCCCAAATATAAAAAACATTTGTAGCTGCACATTCAATATTTACATTTCTTCTTTAAAATTCTATTTATAATTTGCACTTAGAATTTTTGTTTCTGTTCACACTTAGTGCTGCCTTAGTTGCTATTAATTAAAATCCGATCCTTATGTCGTGAGCGTTTCGAAACAACTGAATGAGACTTCAAGCCAATAATAAATTTATATTTCAGTTTATTTTTTGTTTTCGCTTCTCATTTCACACTCGAGAGTCGACGATATCGTCTCTCTAGTTATTACAAATAGAATATGTATGTACTTACGATTGTACGCGTTAAGTTTTTTTTAAAACGTATGTTTAATACTGAAACTTGATCAAATGATGGTGATGGATTTTGTCTGAATGGTATGACAAGGGATTGTTAATAAATAACGTCACAAACAAGATCACTGGCAAGATCTTGATCACTGACAAGTTCACTGATGGTTGCTCGGCATATAAAAAAAACTTTAGAATTCAGACCTTAGAGATATAGCTGCGCGTTTTATGCGTTTCAAGGCTAATGATAATTTAACAAGAGAGGGTTCGCCAGAACTCTCGATCAAACTTAGAGTTACAGTTTACAGTGGGATCCAAACCACTCCTCTGATGACATTTCTGCCTGTAGCCTACAAAGGAAGGCTGTGAGCCTCATTTCTAGTACATACGATTCAAAAAAGGACAAGTGAAAATTTTCCCATGCCCAGTCTCGAACCCATGATCGCTGTGTTAGTATTGCAATAATTAAGTACCGGAGTACTAAACCATTCCTCTACAGAGCCACTTTATCTCACTAGATTGCTCGGCATATAATAGGTTTTATTCACTAGGGTATTGCTAGTAAGTTGGTAATAAGCCCCTACTCGTGACTTAGGTCTTCCATTTATTCAAATTTCCGTGTCGCGTCATTCAAATCATCTCAATTAAGCATACCATTAAATCATATACAGATGCTCACATTTTTAAAACTCCGTAAATAATATCTATCATCCAAATGCGCTTGACTCAATTACCACGTACTATTAGCAAATCATTTACTCGTTTTCATACTAACGCTAATATTCACAATAATTTTTACATTGACTACGGTCAAGTTTAAATCGCTAGGCCTTAGAAAATGCAAGTCAGTCTGAGCTATACCATAAAAATTCAATGTAATTTAATAATTATATGTGTCTCATGATAGCTGAATTAAAACTGTTAATACATGCATAGTAATAATTTTAGATTGATGTTGCATATGATCGATTATTAAATTTGCATTTGATCATTAAAAGCCGGGAAAAAAAAGTTCTGAAAGGTCGGAAGTAAATAGTAAAAGTTTATTGACTATAGGAAATTTTCATTCATTCATAGTCATTATTGTACATTCGATCAGATCAGCTGTGCTTGATGAAAACCTTTTAAATGTTTTGCAAGAACGATTCAAATGTTTAAGTGTTGATTTGTTCGTTTTTTAAGTCATTGACCTACCACAACTATTAAGAACTGGTATTTTTGATATTAGATGAATCACAGCTGATTGTAAGCTATTGATGATGTGATTAATGACAACAATGTTCAAAATCTCACAATAAGGAATACAACAACAATTTTTGGCGCGAAATTAGATTTTTGTAGATCCACTTCCTAACATCGCAACTGAAAAACGATTTTAGTGCAACAATCATAAATGTATTTCAAGGCAATTTAATATAACAAATTGATTCTTTTTATTTAACACATTCCATAATAACATACATTTATAAGTACTTGTCACGATACTTATACTCTTCAGAATCAACATACTGATCGAGTTTCAAGTTTGTATTTTCATCGTCAATCTCAAAATAATCTGTAAAGTTTTCAATCAGTTTTCTAGTTTTGTCATAGTACTCAATTTTCGGTGGTAGATCGCCGCCTAAATCACACGGCATATGCGATTTTGGAACATCATTTTCAAAGATCTTATCAAGACTTGCACCAGGTGGATGCAAATGAATAATATCGTAGAAATCTTTCCTTACAAATGGCTTAATTATCGCGAAAATTAGTTCCATAATCCAAAATGAGTTTAGGACATGAATCGACTTGATGAAAATTGGATTAGCTGATTGAAGATAATCAATTCCTTTTCTAATTGAGTGAATGGTTGGTCGGAAAACGTGACTGAAACTGGATCCTTTGAGGTCGTATATGAAGATTGCTCCATCTCTAGGTCCTTCCTTGGCGAGCATTGCTTCTGCAAAAGGAAAATAAATAAGCAAGTTAGATAATATTATCTATCAGAAGAAATAAGTAGTTTCAATACCCAAAACTGCCATGCTTTAATACTCCCCCATTTAAAATTAAAATATTCAATACTTTTGCATTTCCCGCTTTTGTTTGATTATTTAATTTTTATTAATGAACTTTCAAGTGTTTGTAAAACCTGATTTTGAAATTAAGATGAATGCGGTCACTGTTACACAATCGATTGGTGCATAATAAATTGTTTCCGAATTCGCTTTGGGTCATAATTGAGTTTATAAGAGAGAAAGTTGTGAAGCTGTTAAGGTTAAGACTTCTTTCTATGTTTGTCAAATTAAGGAAATATATTAAGAGTTTGTTTTAAAGAAAGCTTGAAATGATTGAATGCAATGTGATTAAACTTTCTTTCTTTTTAAAACTTCACTGATTAACAAAGATTTTAAACGTTGACTACAAAGATTCTTTAATTCAGTTCATATTGTCATATTCATCAACAAAGATCAGTCTGACTTCGTTAATCTGAGCGATGCAATCTATTTTGCAATCAAATGGTTGCCAACGTTCCCAACAAATCTCTTAACTATTAATGCTTTCCTATTAATACATTTAGATCACAACACCAACTTCACAACCATCATGTAATACTTAACTCACCTCCCATCATCATGAAAACCTTTACGGCATGATCAAAGTTGAATTTTCTTGGATTATAGTTCGTAAGGCAATGATAAAATACAAAGTGATTATTAGGTGTACTTGGAAAGACAGCAAAGCATTGAGTATCCAATGCATCAATCACATCCGGTGCATCAAATCTACGATTTGCGAAAAATTCTGGTGTTGTTGATCGTAGCTTATAGTTCATGTGTATCCATTTTGATGATTTTTCTGTGTTACTGTTACATCCATTCACAAAAATAGCGAGCTGGTTTTTTGGGGGAAAAATATTTTGTTATGATGGAAATTAATGACAAAGGGCACTACAAACCTGTTTATCATCAAGAATCTTAGGAACAAATTTGGAAATTTTTGACATCTCCCTCAGCTGATCAACCCATTCTTGCTTAATTTTCTGCCGTTCCAATATTTCATCATAATCATAGCACAACTCGTCCAAAACTTTATTGAATTTCTTCAACATTACAGATATGAAGTTGTTACCGCACCGCGCAAGAGATAAACTGTAACTGCAAAGGTTGTCAAATAAAAAGCGTCTGAGAAGAAACTGGAAACTTTTAATGCGTGATATAATAAAAAAAGTTTAAAAAAATGAAAGAAGACAAACAACTATGTTAAAAATATACATAAAGTTTTGACTGTGTAGCTGTTTTCTTTCCTCTGCTTTGTTTTACTTTATTTTCGGCAAAAGAAATGTCAACAAAGCGTAAAGTCGGCATAAATGACATAATGAAAGTTTGCTGACTCACTTATGCAAATTCAGACGATGAATTTTTTTATAGAGAGCAAAAAGACGTCATTGATGCTTTGTCAGCTATAAAAAAAGAGCTAAAGGTGCTAAATGGATAACAAGTTTTTTTTGGTTGGCTAATTAAGGGAGTCGTTCATAAATTATATCAACTTAAACTTAGATTACCGAAACTTTTTTCATATCCATTCATAATTGAAGCCCCAAATATTTTCTGTAATGATTTGAAAGCCTTGACATCATTATTAAACAATCCCTAAAATAAAGGAACAAAAAATTCCCCATTGTTGATGATTTGATCATAGTTTTAAAAATAATTTTTTATTTCAATCATCAACCTTAAAAAAAGATGTCAAAAAGTTACAAGAAAAAACCCTAAAAAAACAAACTGGATCTTCAAGTTACAAGCCTCATGATCTTTACATCAATTTCCTTATTTAGATTTGCACGTGTTGATGGAAAAAAACTTGTTTAAAATAAAACCACATAAAAATGTAAATTTCTAAAGATGAACAGTCTTCGATTCCTCAGCAATATGGTCAAGTTCATGATTAACTTGCTGCTCCTCAAGCTTAAAATATTCTTTCAAATTTATCAAAATGTTCCTCTCACTTTCGTGCAATTCCTTTATTGATGGAAGGTCACCGCCGTAGTCTTTTGGCAGATTCGACTTTGGGATGTGTTTGTGGTAAAAGTCATTCCAATTTATGTTGGAATTGTGAAGGTAGACGCGATGCAACAAGCCTGTTGTTGAGAATGGTTTGAGGAGTGCTGGAAAAAATTTTAAATATTATTTTATTGAGTTATTATGATCAAACTTTGAATTTGTCAAATTAACCAAAGCTTCATCTATCATTAACTGCAAATCTTAAATCAACTTTAAACTTACCATGAATATAAGCCATAAATGGTGCAGTATTGAAGAAATGAACAGCCTTTATGTACAGTGGAGTTGCATTTTCTAGAAAATTGACTACCTTCTTGCGAGAAGACATGCTAGCTTTGAGACTATGCCTGAACTTAGCACCCATCATGTCAAAAACCAAAATTGTATCTGTTCTTGGACCATTTCTGTACAAGTAAGCCTCTGCGACCATTACAAATGCTTTAATTGATGATTCAAAGTTGTAATTTTTGGGATCGAAATTCTGTAGTGCCATGTAGAAAATGTTACAGTTGCAGGCAGTCACTGGAAATGTTGCAAACCACATATTATTGAAACAGTTTGTGATCTCTTTCGATTCTGGATCTCGATTCCTTAAGAATTCTTTAAACTCATTCTTATGCTTGTAGTATGTTAGAATTATATGTGCGCAGTCATCAGCATTGCCTTTACTATGTATTAGGTATGAAAGAATCTAAAAGATTGGGTTTTTTGAGATTAATGTTGAATTTTAAAGGTTCTCTAGAGACTTGCTTGTCCATTTGTTATGTACTTTGGTATAATTTCATGTATAGCTATTTTATCTCTAACTTCATCAACAGTTTCCTGTGAAAATCCTGAAGATTTTAAGAATTCCTGATAATTATACAAAGAAACTTCAAATTTGCCATCATTAGACATGACGTCTACTCAACTTACAGAACGAGACTGATTGGGAAAACTCTATATTGCGGACGAATTTTTGCAGAAAAACAAGTTTCTTGTTAAATCCAAATTCTTATGACAATGGCCCGTGACGACTGTTAGCTTTTTCAGTGGACAGAATAATTCTAACGTTTAGGATCACTGAACAGAATCTAAAAATATCAGCTTATCATTCAAGTTTTTTTGCAAAGCATTTTATTGAGGAAGGTTAAAAATGTTTATTTTTAAATCCAAATCATTTGGTTAGATTTTTGCAAATCATGCAGACTTACGTCCTGCATATTATGAACTTCCTATTGTGACTAATTTTGAATCAAAATATTTATCTTCGGATGAACCGATCTTGTCATTAATCTCTGTTAATGATATTCAATATTTCAGAAAATAAGTTTGTTGATATCCTTGAAGCTTGATGATCAGCTTTGTAACATGTTTCATATTAAACATGTTTGACAAATGCTGCATAAACCCAACATATAACTCAAAGAAGATAAATAATTTTGATATATTTTATTCAAAGCTTTAAATCTTCTATCACAAACTAAAATTAAGAAACCTATTTTGATAATATAATGAATAATTCCATAGTCAAACATAATTAAAGGATTGTCTAGCTTATACCTTTACCTTTGTGGATTAAAGGATAAAATCTGAATTGAAATAGTGGTTTAATCAGAATGATGAACTTCATCGGGATGATCCTTAATATAATCATCAAATTCAAAGCTTGCCTGTTTCTCCTCCAACACAAAATAATCTCTCAAGTTCATAAAAAGCTGTACGCTTTTCTCTTGAAGTTCATCAAGTGTTCCTAAAGTTCCACCAAATTCTTTTGGCAAATGACTTTTTGGAACTTGTGTTTCGTGAAATTTGTTGTAATCGACGTCGGAATGTAAGAATTGAAATTTCTGCGACAATTCTGTTTTGACAAATGGTTTGCAGATTGCTGAAAATTAAGCATAAGAGTCATAAGCTCTTGACTTTCAAGCTTTCAAACAAAAGAAAACTTACTTATGATCAAGTCGAATGCCTTCATTGTATTAAAAATTATTCCTTTTTGTACATGGACAGGAATCGCTGCATTTAAAAAAAATATATTATGTTAGTGACTACATGCTATATTCCTGTTAAAATTACCATCTTCGACAAATTTTGCCATATTTCTCATTGATGAAACGCTTGGTTTAAATAAAAACCTTAAACCTGCTGCCTTTAAATCAAATAAGAGAATTGCCTCTGTAAATGGTCCGTAGTAGTAATTGTAGGCTTCTGAAAAGGGTTTAAACATATTTTTGGATTCCTTATCAAACAAAGAGCTTAAAATTTGAGCAGCTATAAACCTCAGATCCAGATCTTAGACAGTTATTGACTTAAACACAAATCACAAACCATGTTAAAAATCAAACTTTAATAATACTCACCAAACAACATCAAGTACACTTTACTAGCTAAATCATAATCATATGTACTTGGATCAGAATTCTTAACACTATGAAAAATCAACATTTTGTTGTCAGACGTGATTGGAAGGAACATAAAGTATTGATTTTTCAATGCACTTCTGATCTCATTTGACCAGATGTCACGATTTTGATGTAATTCTGGAACTGATGCCTTGTAATTGTAGTAATTTTCTATCAAGATTGCAACTTGATTGATGTCATATTTGTATGTTGTTAAGAATCTTAGGAGCTGTAATAAGGAAGAACAAATTATTCAATATTCTTAAAACACAAACTCTTGTATTCTTACTTGCTTATCAGTGAGTGATTTTGGCACAATATTCGAATTTTTAATTTTTTCTCTCAACAAATCAACACTTTCTTGTTTCAGATGGTTCCTTTCTAAAGATTTCTTATAACTATATCCAGAATCAAGAATTTTCTTAAAATCACTAAACATTTTTAAGAATAGACAACAAACTTTTCACAAAGAGAATCAAATAGAAACTGAAAACACTGTTTCATTATCACTATTAAGAAGCTGTTCCTATCGATAAACATGGGCAATCAATTTAAATTCTTGTTTTTAAAACTGATTTTGTTTTATTAGTACTTCCTCGTCGTCGGAAATAAATGCAAGAGAGTCAAGGACTTTCTGAGATTTCGGAAGCAATTTGGAAAGTTAAAATTCAAATGGAAAAAAGTTTAAATGCAACACAATCTGCTTTATAGATCTTTATTAGGGTTGTTCATATATTACGTCTAATTTGCTTAACTATCATACAAGATTAGACTTCGCTTCTTCAAAGAATTGGACAAAACAGCTGAACAGCCACACAGTTTATATTTAAATTCAAAAAATATCACTTCAAAATACAACGAATAAACTAGTTTGATAATTTAATCAATATGAATCTAGTCATTATGATGAACCTCGTTTGGATGTTCCTTGATGTAGTCATCGAATTCAAATCTTGCTTGTTTGTCCTCCAAAACAAAATATTCTCTCATGTTCATAAACAGTTGAATGCTTTGCTCTTGAAGTTCATCTAATGTGCCTAAAGTTCCACCAAATTCCTTTGGCAAATGACTTTTTGGAACTTGAGTTTCGTAAAATTTTTCCAGATCTATATCCGAGTTATAGTATTGCACTCTCATAAACAACTTTGATTTAACGAATGGCTTGACAAGAGCTGAAATTAGCATAAATAAAGCATTATTTATTATCACATTGTTAAAATCGGAACTAAACTTACAAATAATCAAGTCAAAAGCTTTGATTGTGTTGAAAACTATAGCTTTGTTGATGTTCACAGGAATTGCTGAAAAAAGTCCAAATTGGTGTAAATTTAAATAAGCTGTGATTTGATTTTTTATGCTTTACCTTCCTCAACATATTTGACAACTTGTTTTAATGATGATACGCTTGGCTTAAATAAAAACCTCAAACCAGATCCTTTCATATCGTAAAGCATAACTGCTCCATTGAATGGTCCAAAATGGTACGCATAGGCTTCTAAAGTTTGAAAATTTAAGCAGTTGAACATGATCAATAAATCTTGAAATCCAAAACTTACCGAACAGCATGAAGTATAATTTCGTAGCTGTATCATAGTCATAAGTGCTTGGATCTAAATTCTTGAGTCCATGGAAAATCAACAACTGATTATCAGGAAGAACAGGTAGAAAAATATAATATTGATTCTTCAAAGCATTTCGAAGTTCAGTTGAATAAACATCACGGTTTTGGAATAATTGTGGAGCTGCTGCTTTGCATTGGTAATAATTTTCCATCAAAACAACAACTTTATCGATGTCTTCTTTGTATGTTGTTAGGAAATTGAGAAGCTATAAAAATTAAGGGGTATTGAATTTTATTCTTCTCAATTTAACTTGCAACGAGCAAGAATACCTGTTTGTCTGTTAATGACTTTGGCACAATCTTTGAATCTTTGAGTTTATCTCGCAATAAATCCACACAATCTTGCTTAATTTCTTCTCTTTCGAGTGATTTCTTGTAACTAAAAGCAGATTCAAGGACACTTTTGAAATTTGCAAACATTTTTGGCTCAAACTTAATTCTTGTCTGATTGAAAGAAGAATTGACACTGAAAACAGAAACATAAGGAACTCCAAAAAAATATACTTTTTGTATATCGAATTTTGTTTAAATTCTTGTTTTATTAAATTCCTCTTCCTTTTTGCCACAAACTTGTTAAGTCACTTTTACTTTTTTTTTTGCTTAAAATATTTTATGTTTATCTTAATGTATTATTAGTCATGACATTTCACGTCCTTTGGATGCTTTCGGATGTAATCTTCAAACTCTAATTCTCTCTGCTTCTCTTCTAATATGAAATAATCTCTTAAGTCCATCAACTTTTTTGTGGTTTCTGCTTGAAGTTCATCAAGTGTTCCTAAAGTTCCGCCATATTCCTTTGGTAAGTGACTTCTTGGAATCTCATTCTCATAAAACTTTTCATAATCAATGTCCGAATGGTGAAGATGAATCCTCTGGAAGATTTTAGGTTTTATGAAAGGTTTGATCAGTGCTGAAAGAGATTTGAGAATTTATTTTTTTGTTTGTTAAAATAAAGTTGAAGAATAATTAGACTTACAAGCAATAAAGTCAAACAGTGGAACCGTGTTGAGAACATTTATTTTTTTGATTTTTATTGGGTTTGCTGAAACAAGATTATCGTCATTAAAACTTGCTTTATTTTTCAAAAAATTTAATATTGCAAATTTTCACACCTCCATTTAGGAATTTAAATCCTCTTCTTACAGATGAAATGCTTGGCTTCAAAAGAAATCTAAAATTTAATCCTCTCAAATCAAAAATGAATACTGCTTCTGATAAAGGTCCATGAATGCAAGTGTGAGCTTCTAAAAACGAAATAATTGAAGTTTGAAACTAAAGTTTACAAATCGAATGATTTGAATTGGAGGGATTAGGATTTCATATGATCTTAATGTTCGAAAACTGTTGCAAATAAAATGAAAGCATGCAAAATCATTAATATTGCTCTTGAAGAGATCTACAGGATTCAAATAATGTTTGTCTTATCTTGTTCAAAATGACGATCATCACGAGATTCATAATCAAATAAAAACTCACCAAATAACATGCAGAAAACTTTTGCTGCAGTATCAAATTCATAAGTTGTTGAATCAAAATTTTTTAAGCTATGATAAAACAGCATCTGATTATTTGATGTAATCGGTAGCATAATAAAATACTGATTTTCTAAGCAATTTTGTATTTTTTTGGAAAACACATCACGATCTTTAAAGAATTCAGGAATTATGGTTCCATTCTTGTAATAATTTTCCATTAATGTTGCAACTCTATCAATATCACATCTATTTCTATTAAGAAAAAACAATAGCTAACAAATTAACATCCGATTAATCACTTAAGAACAATAACTCAATTGACACTGATTCTACCTGCTTATCAGTTAGCGACCTAGGCACATATTTTGAGTTCTTAACTTTTTCTCTTAATAAATTCACATTTTCTTGCTTTATATTTTGTCTCTTGAGAGATTTTTTATAGCTGTAACTTCTGTCGAGAAGATTTTTTAAATCTTTAAACATTTTTTTACAATGTTGTTAAACGACTGTCCTAAAGAGAGTGCTGAGTACGACTGAATTTGAATATTATTCGCGTAAGAGTAAAACGAAGAGAAGACAAAAATTTGTCATTAAGGTTTGACTCAAAACAACATATCACTTTTGTGGATCTTCTCTTCATTTAAATACGAGTTGTAGTTTATTATATCGAAAAACAGGGTTTGAAATAAAATGCATAGCTTTGCACAAATCTTAAACGTCAAATCAGGGCTGTGGAGATAAACAAGATTTAATCAATAAAAATTCATAAATTCATTAAAATTCTGTTTTATTGTTAATTTGATAAATTCTTGTAAAATCGTATAAAAAATTCAAACATGTTTTAAAATTAAGCATTAATCATGACATTTCACATCTTTTGGATGCTTCCGAATGTAATCTTCAAACTCCAACTCTCTCTGCTTCTCCTCTAATATGAAATAATCTCTCAAGTCCATTAATTTTTTTGTAGTTTCAGCTTGAAGTTCATCAAGTGTACCTAAAGTTCCTCCATACTCCTTTGGTAAGTGACTTTTTGGAATCTCATTCTCGTAAAACTTTTCATAATCCATATTTCCATGATGAAGTTGAATCCTCTGGAAAACTTTTGGCTTTATGAAAGGTTTGATCAATGCTGGAAAATGTTAAATGTCAATTTTAGGGTTATAAAAAATACAAGAATGTCAAACTTACCAGCAATAATATCAAACAGAGACATCGAGTTTAATATATGCATTTTCTTAATTCTAATTGGATTTGCTGAAATGTTTTATAATTTTAACATTAATTTAGTTGAGGTAAACAATATGAAGGATTGAAATCAATTTGAGCTGATTAGAGTTTTTGAAAATGATTTCAAGTCGAATTTAGATTGACAATTTAGAGTTATGGATGTCTTACCTCCATTTAGAAATTTAAATCCTCTTCTTACAGATGAAATGCTTGGCTTTATTAAAATTCTAAAGCTAACTCCATTTAGATCATAAAGAAAAATTGCTTCTGATAACGGCCCATAAAGGTAAAAATGAGCTTCTAAAAATTGAAAATTTCAATAACTTTTTTTTTTCTTCAAAAATTAAAGTTTTAATTTTTGGCGCCAAAAAATAGATTATTAAATCTTGTAAAACTTTTAAGGCAATCCAATGACATGAATCTGATCAGGATGACCAAAAATCATCAGAATTGATCAAAAGTCAGTTGATTAGTTCCGCATCCTTGAATCAGCCCACCATTATCAATTCCATTTAACTCACCAAGCATCATGCAAAAGAGTTTTGTAGCACTATCAAATTCATATGTGCTTGCATCAGGATTTTTAATTTTGTGAAAAAATAGCATTTGATTATCCGGTGTAACAGGTAGCATAATGTAATACTGATTTTCTAAACAGTTCTGAATCTCTTTCGATAACACATCACGATTTTGGAAGAATTCTGCAATCAAGGATCGGTTTTTGTAATAATTTTCCATCAATTTTGCAACTCTATCGACGTCACATTTGCTTCTGTTGAAGAAAAATAATAACTGTTGCCAATTTAGCATCATTTTAGTTCCACTTGAACAACTTTTTAATAAAAACTAGCTCTACCTGCTTATCAGTAAGCGACTTTGGCACATATTTTGAACTTTTTACTTTTTCTCTCAACGAATTTATATTCCCTTGCTTAATTCCTTCTCTTTTCAAAGATTCTTTGTAGCTATGACCTTTGTCAAGAATTCTTTTGAAATCTTTAAACATTTTTTTTTGACAATTTGTCTTAATAACCGTCCTAAAGAAAGGGCTGACTACGACTGAACGTAACTTTTTAAGGGCAAATAAAGAATGCCATAAAGGTTTCATTTTAGACAGCATAAAAAAAATCTTCTTTTGTATCATCTCTTGATAATTTGTGCTTTGCTACGCCTCATTTTTTATTATGTCGAATAAAATTTTATTCAGGTGTGAGTTGTTGACATTGAATATCGTTTGGCAATCATCCGCAAGTTTTTCAAAGTCAACGTCTTAAGGTTTGTTACTGTTGATAAGTCATCCGGAGAAGTAATTAAAAGAAATTTCAATCAAAAAGCTTGTAAAATAAATTGATTTATTAAATTTTTTAATCAACATTTTGAATTTCATAAAGATGCTCGTCCACAAATTGATCAAATTCGAAATTTGATTGTTGTTCTTCGTAGATGAAGTAGTCTTTGAGGTTCATTAGTCGTTCTCTGCTTTGTTGCTGTAATTCTTCTAGTGTTCCTAAAGTTCCACCATATTCTTTTGGTAAATGAGTTTTTGGGACATATTGCTCATGGAATTTATCATAGTCGAGGTCTGAGTGGTGTAGATGGAGCTTTTCTAGAAGTTCTGAGTTTAGCAGTGGTTTCACGATTGCTGGAAGTATTTTATTAAACATTAAAAGTAAGAATTAATTATTATTCAAAATGAAACTAATCCTGTTAAACTAGAATCCACCTCTACATATATTGACCATCGAATTAGTGTTGAAGATATTCAATAATGTAACATTTGTTTAAAGAAATGTGTATTCTTGTAAAAACCTGTAAGGACAGGTTTTGAGTCATATCATCAAATTATACTTAAAAAGTTTGAAACGTGTTAAATCCGAAAAGTTTTTGCTTATAATTTTTTTCGCACGTGCTTCCACCAATAAGCTTTGTTTTTAGAGTTAATTTAAGATTTTCTGATCAAAATGTCAAGAATTTTTAAAAAGATTATTCAAAATGTTCATTTCACTAAATGATAAATGTCATAATGCAATCCTGCAAAGTTTCATCTAAAAATTTGACAAATAAAATCAAATTATTCAAGATTCAAAAGAAATTTGTATTTTTTTTTATCTGAGGATATTAAGGATCCTTAATATATCTTATTAGGAAATTCGGAAATTTGTTGTTTTGTTAAATCAAACTTCCAACAAACTTAACAAATGTTAAGAATCCTTGATGTTCAGCTTCTAAGACTAAAGCAATCAAATGTCGATATCTATACTCTGAGGTATTAATAAAGGATAACTATGACTAGAATTATCCCTGCCAATGTGTGTACAATACTTCGGCGTTTACATTTGAATGTCGATCAGGATTTAAACAACTTTTAAATCAAATTGCCACATTTAGACCAAGCCTTACCGATTATCCAATCAAAGAACGAAACTGTATTGAAAACATGAACTGCTTTGATGTTGTAAGGCATTCCTAAAAAAAACAATCAACTGTTTATTTTTTGAATTGCTTTCATCTAAATCTTCTTACCTCCTTCAAGAAATTTAATTCCTTTTCTCATTGTTGAAACGCTTGGCTTGAAAAGAAAACGAAAACTCAAGCCTTTCAAATCGAACAAATAAATTACCTCCGGTCGTGGTCCATGATAGTAGTTGTATGCTTCTAAAATTGAAATTATAAAGCTAATATTAGTTTATGGAATCTGGGGTCGTTCATAAATTAAATCCTGTAAAAATCTTGAATTTTCAAAACTCTTGTCAAATGTGTTTTGCTCTTGGATCTTCAAAACTGTGCCATCATTAAGGAACAATCCAATAAAAAAATTAAGAAAAAGCTGTTTAAATTTAAGTTCATTTTTGTTGTAAAATTTAAAAGGTATTGTCATACACTGACAATGAAGGCTGCCATTAATTTTTAAGAAAGTTATGACAACTTGTAAAACAGCTGGTTAAATGAAATAATTGTCATGTTTACGAATCACTTAAAAAAGAAGACGATAAAAATACGCGGTAAAAACTTTAATTATCAATTCCAAAACAAAACTTTCTTTCAGTCTCTCAGAGAGTCCAATTCTCTCACTGACTCATAAAGCTCACCATTCATCATGATAAAAGTCTTTGCAGCTGAGTCAAAATTGTAACTATTTGGGTCATTATTCTTAAGACTATGATAAATAAGCATGTGATTGTCAGGTGTTACAGGAAGTGTGATGTAGTATTGATTGTCTAGACAGTTCTGGATATCTTTTGCGTCAACATCACGATCTTTAAAAAATTCCGGTGCTGATCGTTTAAGTTTGTAGCAGCTTTCAAGTAGTGCCGCACTTTTATCAACGTCATTCTTGTACGTGGTTAGAAAAAAGATCAGCTGGAATAAATTAAAATTCATTTTAAAAATATTCGCAACAATTTTTGGACCTGTTCTACTAACCTGTTTGTCAGCCAAAGATTGAGGCACAACTTTTGAACTTTTGAGTTTATCTCTCAACAAATTTACAGTTTCCTGTGTCAAATTTTCCCGCTCAAGTGCTTCCTTGTAACTATACGCAGACTTTAGAATGTCTCTAAATCTGGCAAACATATCAAATAGAAGTGACATTTAATGTCTGGATGGAAGTAAATGTGAATGAAGACTGAAAGCATTTTCGAGAGGAATCAAGCATTTAATAAAAAGTAATGAGTAAACACACGTGATATTCGGAACCTCTCTCTTTCTAACTGTGCTCGTTTTTTGGACACTCAAGTGTTCTTCTTCAACAATGCTGCACACATCTTAACAGTTACTCAAGAGAAATTGTTTAAAGAGTGCGAGTGAAGAAAGTTGTGGATGGGCATGGTTTAGTGTTGAATGAAGACAATGTTTGACGGTAAATTTCAAATTTTGGATGCCCTATTCAATGTTTTATTCGGATGCTGGAGGATTTCTTAGTGTGTGTTGTTTGATGATGACTGCAAATATTAATAAAAGAGCATCTTGCGTAAATCATCTTTTTATTGTTTGATAAGTTTTTAAAATGATTTTAATTTTTTTATTGTGATTTTTAAAAATAAAATGACCTACAGATCCCAGAGATCCTCTAAGCTAGCTGCTAGAGCTGTCCTGGGTAGACGTTTTATTCCAACGTAAATTATATTGATACTTGATCATAGATCAACCTGATTATTGCTAGAAACCAGCACATAACTTCAATTAAACCTCTAGTTAAAGCCATTAGACTATCCAAAAGCCAATTACACCAGCCAGACAGCAAAATAAAGAAAAAAATCACCAAGTCATTCACAGAAACAAACAAAAATGTATTAAGTAATTTAAACAATCATAAAATTATTTATATCTTAGTGCTGTAAAGTTTATTGACCAATTTTTACCATATCATTGTGTAATTTCATAAAATGCCTCACATCCACAAGTGCTCAAAATTTGCTCAAAAAATTAACAGTTACATCATTTAAATTATTCTTAAAAGTTCACTCAAACAGTTGCTTTGATTCAGCCATAAAATACTCTTTCATTTCCAGCAGTTCGTTTATGTGTTGTTTATGCAAATTTTCGACAGTATCACAAATACCACCGTAGTCGCTATCACATGGTAAATTTGATTTTGAGATGCTCTCCGCATGTAATTTTTCGAGGTCCACGTCTGATGAGTGTAGGTGCATCTAAAGATAGGAAGTGATGTATTAAATTATTATCGCAAATATTGTTGACTGTCAAGGTCAACTTTGAGACCAAAACTGCTGATTATTAACATTCAAATAATATTTCAATCCATGAATATCAATTAGCACATTTTTGTTTACCTTTTTAGCAGTTTCTGCCTTTAAAAATGGAGAAATGAGCTTCATTATCAAGTTAAACGAGGGAAATGTATTAAAAATGTGAATATCGCCAATTTCAGTTGTCATTCCTTCTTGCATGTATGTGAAAAATGCTTTCATTGCTTTGAAGTTGTTCCTTGTTAAATGTCCAAGACGGAAGTTTTTCATATCATATATCATCACTAAGCTTCTTGATGGACCATGGATGCTCATTGCATTTTCTGAAAATATAATAAAATTTTGAAAATTGCGTATATGATCAAACTGTTACTAATGCAGAGTGGGTCGAGCCTAATGTCAGACTACCTTGGATGCGAAACCAATCTTAAACCACACCGACAGCTGATTATTTCCATTCTACGTACATTAAAGGCAACAGTTCCCAATAATGAAACTGAAAGTTGTTTCCCAAGAACCTGAATTGACTATTGATAACGAATCTACGAAGAACCACTTAATGTTCAAGGAATCAACCATGAATCACTACATAAAGACACAAGAGTAGAAAAAATGTGCGAATTTTTAATGAGTTTTTTTTTCAGATTCTGGTTAACGAACTTGTGTTCTTCCAGTTACGTTACTTCCTGGTTCATCTTCAACCAAATTAAGAAACTTGTTTTTTGAATTTAAATGTATATGATGTCTTCCTTTTCTTTCTGGTTTACGTTTCATTTCAAATGCAAATAAAATATTTTAAATAAAATAAATTGTAAAATTTCTTTTGATTTCAATCCAAAAACTTGCAGATTGCAACAAATAACAAATCCAATAAACGGAACTTGTTATTTAAAAGAACATCATGATTAAGCAATTTTTCGTTTTAGTTTACGTCAGAGCTCATCTTTCGATTTATAATTCGGGGAAATTTCAAATGTGAACAAAATATCAAAAGTGAGACTGCAAAAACTCGGGAATTTTGTGAATATTTTAATGAGACAAATGACATAGCTTTTGACTTTTAATGCCTCTAAAAGTCACCGAAACTTAATTTATTGAGGAAAATTCATTTAAACCAGATTTATTATCACACCCAAGTAGCACAAGTCGGATAATCGAGCAAAAGATTTCGTCTTGATTATCCGAGTTTTGGTACTCGTGAGAATTACTCACCAATCATCATAAGAAAACAAACTGTTGACTGATTATAATGATAATTTTTAGGTATTGAATTGGCGAGTCCATGATAGCACACAATGTCATTCTGATCTGTTTGTGGAAGTCTAGCATAATATTGATTCTCTATTGGTTGTTGAAGCTCTGGTGTCTTGATGTCTCTGTTCTTAAATAGCATTGAAGCTTTACGTTTAATCTCATAATGTCGGTGCATGAATTTGATTGATTTGTCGATATCACCATTACATTTACTTAAAAACAGGAGCAACTGAAGGATAGGAATAAGTTTTGATTGATTCGAATTAAAGAGGCTAGTTAGGATGTTTTGTAATATCTTTAATGAATATTTTTAAGGATTTTCTAAGTTCTAGCAATTAAACTTGAACATTTTTTTTACTTTTCTTGTTAAATCCCAAATCATAAAACTAAACAACAGTCTGCCATTTCTGAACATCCTTATGATCCCCAAATTAATTCACAATTATTTACTTGTTTATCTGTCAACGATTTTGGAAGTAATTCACAATTATTTGCAGTGTCGCGTAATAAATCAATTCTTGATTGACTTAAATTCACTCTTTTAAGAGCCGCTTGGTAATCGAACTTTAAATCAGCATCCATAATGCTACTTTTCACTTGAAAATCTCAGACAATACTAAAAAATTTTATTTTGCCGTTTCTGACTTTTTAAGATTTTTTTTCCATACTTTACTCAATTTTTTTTTACCACATTCGCAGTTGTATTTCTTACAAATGAATCTCTTTTTTCACTCAAGTGTTGAAATCAAGAGAATTAAAAAACACTCATCTCTTGATTATGCTTACGTCTTTCGTCTGGTTTTGTGGTGTCTTGCTAAATAACAATAAAGGTGTAATGTATGGAGATGATAGGTCATTGTGTTGCTAATCGTTTAGATATCTTAATAATTCGCATCAAAAAAAAATTTCCTCTATTTGTCCATACACAATAAAATGCGAAAACTTGTGTGAAGATAGGAGATGTTGAACTGACTGTTTGATGTTCATTTGTCAAGGTAATAGTTTTTATAGTTTTTTTATGAAATTTTGGACTAAGGTGGTTTCTGTGGATATGGCTTGAAGAGCATATCTGTAGTAGATAGGCCTGAGCATAGGCCTCGCGTTGAACTGATTATATGTGGATAACCGCTAGCCGAAGTAAGATAAGTATCTCGTTGGCCGAGTGGCAAGGATCTCTGATAGAGTGGTCAGAGATCGCCACTTTTGAGGTCGTGGCTTCGATTCCCGACTTATTTTACATTGGTATACACATATAGCAGTTATAGTGAGATCTACAGTTCCAAATAGAATTGATTAGTCCCTTTTAAGGCTCACCAATTGGATGCCTGCCTCAGGTTATGTAATTTGTTAAAAAAATAGAATTATTTATAAACTTCAGTCATTTAGTCTACAAAAATAAAGTGAATAAAGCACTTTTTCTTCATGTGCTGCACTTGAAAAATGTAAGTAAAAATGATCTTGAAAAGTACTAACAAGTCGAATAATGAGTTTATAAATATGCTTTGGTAATAAACTTTTCATGGACATAAAATTTGAAAATTGGTTTGTACTGTGTTTAAATTGACAAAAGAGTGAGTTTTAATTTCAGCATTTGGAAATTCCCTTAAATATGACAACCAAGATAAGTAACTAGCCAGATGCACTACATCAACATCCACCTAGTAACCGAATAGAAACCAACTTATTGCCTTTAATAATTCTAAAATAATCATCCATATCGATTCGTTTGTTCACTTAAATTCCTTAAATATTTAATAAAACTCACATGCATGAATCGTTCATGATTTTGACGTTTGTACTACAAATTCATGTATACAATCTATCCACATATTATGTTAGGTTAACCCACAGTGCGTATATTCAAGCGGTAAACACGAGAAAAGAAATAAAAATTGTTCAATGTGCGTGAAGGTAATTTTAGGTAAAATTATGTTAAGGGTCATGCAATAACGGAATTTATATATGCACACACAAATAAATAAATATGATGGTGGGGTAGAATGAAGTTCATTCTTATTCATTGATAATTAAAATTGAAAGCTTTATTGTTGGTTAAAATATACAAACATAATTCGATGAATTTATTATATTTTTGTGCACATTTATAGCTTGGCTAATAAAGTATTTTAATATACACAGAAGAAAAAAAACATTTGTAAGGTTTTAAAAGCTTTTAATAAATGAGAGCTTTTATTCATACCCATGTTAAAATACAATATACGATAATTGATAGTTATTGGTATCTAATTGAAAACACCTTTTATTTTTGCAGCACCCAAAAAAACATTCAACAAGTATCAGAACATCAAGAAGATGAGTATTAAGCATTACATAGATTTGCTTCTTTTTCGTCTGCAATAAAATATTCTCTTAGACGTGCCAACATCTCACAATGATTTTTATGTAATTCGATTATGGAATCTAATTGTCCTTCGAAGTCAGATGGAAGACAAGAGCTTGGAATGTGCTCTTTATGAAACTTTTTATAGTCTATTCCGCATGGATGAAGATGCATCTAGAAAGAAAGTGTTAGAATAGGTAAGTGTGTATGCTGGTAGAGAAGTTGTTTTTGTTTTGATGTAAATTATGTCAAGTTTGAGGATGAATTTATGGATTTCTAAACTTTTGGTGCATTAGTTTGTGATTCTAATATCCTGTTTGTGTGTCTATGTGCTCATCTGTTTGAATTATAGTTCTTGTGTTTGTCTGTTTATCCACATGTAGCTATTTTCTGTGACTACTCGAGTACCCAACTCTGTGAATAGGGTAGAGTACTTCATATAGACTTAAAAAATGACCTTTCGGTCCAGTAAGGAACAGATTCCTATCACATAAATCAAGTTTTTTTATAAAACTTTACCTGAACAAACTGGAAAGTCCCAAACTTTACAGGAAATACCACACTTGAATGCATTCACAACAATAAACTCAACTGACTCATCACTAAATATATCATCCTTACCTTTTGAATAATTTCACTTCTCATGAACGGTTTGATCATAGCAAGTACAAGATTAAAAACTGGTCCACAATTCATTATATGCATAGCTTCTAGTCTCGCTGGCAATGCATCTTGTAAATAATGAAAGAATGTCCTCAGTGTATCAATCGTTGTCCTCAACAAATGCCGATAGCCGACATTTTTCATATCAAACACAATTATCAAGCCATTTGATGGGCCTTGTGTACACAAAAGTGAATCTATGATATGACAAAATAATAAAAAGAGAGAAAAATAATCGATTTTTGAGTTTGTTTTTTTTTTTGTGGTTTAGTCAAAGTTAAATAATCGATATATGAACTGTGTCTGAGCTGAAATCAAAGGGGACAACAACATGATGAGAAAAATGTTTAAATTGAAAATATTTTAATGGATTTTTCCATGAAAATTAAAGAAATTGATGGAAATTTCTTACAAAAACTTTTCCCCATTATGTTGTTATCCCCTTAGTCGTAATATTCAAATTTATAATGTTGAAAATTTTTTATGGAAATAAGATGAGAAAAAAATGTCATTAAAGCCAGAACCTAGAGTCATGAAAAATGTTTTGCAAGCCTCATCAAATTTGTAATTTGACGCTTTGTTGTTTGATAAACAATGATAGATAACAGAATATCCTGATGGTGTATTGGGCATATGAAAATAATATTGATTCTCCAAACATTGCTGAACTTCATTCGACAATGGATCTCGATTTGAGAATACTGCTGGGCATGATTGACGCACTTCATAGTAGGTTGAGATTACTTTTGCAGCATCATCGACTCCGTTGCAGGCGTGAAGAAAGCAGAGAAGCTGGGGGGATGATAAATTAGAAATTAATTAGGGGTGGTTTTGGGGGGAGGAATTTGAAGTTTAAAATGTCAATTTTGATTTTCATGTGGTCGGATTTTCTTCATTTTTGATAAAATGTGTTGATTTTGTGGAGGTTCTGTCATTTGATAATGATAGATTGATTGTTGAAATTGTAAATTTGTTGGAACTAATACTTGAGGCTGTTCTTTAATCACTAATTTATTAATTTTTTGGATAATTTCACTCAAAACTTGAATTTTCATACTTTTTTATTGCTCAACTTTGTAGGCACATGCGAGTACTTCCGTATTTTCTCCCTCAATTCAAAAACATCACTTTCATCAGTATGTTGTCGCTTCAAAGCTTCCTCATAGTCAAATCTCATATCACAACTCATCTTTATCACTTCAAATATAAATTTATCACAAACAATATGTTAAGCTAACGATGTCTAAAGTTGAACTGCGGTTATGAATAGAACAGTTAAAGTCACATGGTGAAGAAATGGATGTTACGAGATCAAACAAACATGAAAATCCACTTTCTGTTTCAAATCTATTGCATTTTATTGCATGGTTCAGTCTTTTTTTTCTGCATCAACATTGCAATTTTACTGGGTAATGCTTATATACTTTCATCTCTCTCACTCTCATCTCTGTAATGTACTTAAGCTTGATAGCTATTATATAATTTTATAGTGTATACATGTGCAACATGAAACATGTGATTTTCATCTTCTCTTCTCCCGATCTCTTTTATTATTCATAGCCATGAACTGCAATTTTTATTCATGAAATATAGAATTTATTTTAAATAATGTTAATATTGTAGCGGTGCACAAACTTGCCATACCTCAGGTGATGGCTTTAAAAATCCTTGAAACACTTCTTGACATCTTTAATGTACATGCGAGTTTTTGCCTTTTAATGTGATATTAATTCCATTAATGATGGAATCTAGTAATTGGTATCGTATTAATAATGCTGCACGAATGACATTAAAGTTGCTAATATTGGGATTGTTGCGGAGTTTCTTGCTACTTTGCGAAGATTTAAAAGGTTTTGCTGAGATAAATATAAACAAGTTGAAAAGTTGTTGTTGACTGTATTAGGGGGGACTGGCTTAATGCGGTCATTATTCGAAACAATCTATAAAGTTGAAGTATGGATGAATAAGCTCTTTGGATTCTAACAGCAATCTTGCAGCAGAGAGTAGAATTGCAAGCATATGAGAAAGATCTCCCACAGACACTGCCTGGCAGGTAGTTGCCTCTCAGATAGCAACTCTGGCAGTGAGTGTTGAGCGACGTAATCAATGAGTTTGAATATAATATCAAAACTACTAATTTAACTAAGCATCCAGCTGGTAATTCCCCAGCAGTCCAAATTCAAACATAGAACTGCACTTAAGTCTTCTAATTCCGTGCTAAAAATGTTGAAATGACAAATGTAGCACAAAAATTTACATAATAATCCACTTAAGATTTGACATCATCTACGCAAATTGCATTCTTTAATTTAGTTTTTCCTTGTCAAGCTAGTTTAAATGCGCAATTTAACATTTCGCAGGAATTTTTGCAAGGTTTAACTATTATTATGATGTAAATTGCCTTAATGTTGTCAGGAAAGTTTGAACGCGCTTAGATAAAATCCGACAGAACTTAAATTTCACTCGAATCAGAGGAACAAAGTAGCTTAGGAAGTCTTCTGGAGTCAATTTCCAGAGTAAGTGTGATAATGTATGTGTTTTTTGATATCAGATAAGAATGTCTATTAAGTCATATAACAATAAAGGAGCAATGACAAGTTAGAACTCAGTTAAGGCAGAAATTGATTATAGATTAACTCTATCCTTATCGCGGAACACATAAAAATATTCATTAGGATGTAATTTGAATATAATGAATGACATTTGATTTTATGATCGGAACTGATTACTTAATACAAAAGTTATTTATAAAGTCACTAAAACACTCATAAATGCATGTTCGTTAAATAATCCTTTTTGTCTGTCGGCATGGCTAGTTAAGTCACTCGTGTGCGAATATTATTGACCTTCACGATGTTTCCTAATTAGAGATGAATAATATCAGCAAAGATTATTTCTTAATTTTTTTGTAGCCACTCAATTCATGCATTTATAATATACTGTTAATAATACTTTGTCATTTTGTCTGATACTTGACCTGCGAGACTTTCACTTTGCAATTACAAGATAATCAGCAGTTATACCGCCAATTCGGTCAATAAAGGTCTGCTTAATTCAATATGCGACACTTTGGAAAGTAAATGCATGGCAGTCCCCAGTAACCAAACGTAGAACGTTCTTTCTCGCAGATAATCTTTCTCTTTATATTCTAGTAAAAAACTGGTTTAACTATAGCTGAGAAAAACCAATAAAAAAATGCATTAGGTACAAACTTTATCTTTTAAACAGATTTTTAGCTAGCTTCAATAACCTAGCTAAAGAATATCTAAATACTATCTTCTTGTACAATAGCCTTTACAATTCTTCATTTTCCTAGCAATTAGCTAACTTTTCGTAGCTAGCTAAAAGTAAGTCTTTTAAAACAAGATTTTGACTAAAATATAATAAATGAGTTTTTTCAGCTAGTTAAAAGAAAGTTAATTACTAATTGCGATTAGAATTTTCCAATTGCTCATGCTCATATTCATAAAAATGTTAATCGAGGTTTGACTTTTAAGAAGTGAACACGTTGTTAGTTGTAGTTGAATAAAAAAACATCATTTTAAAAACTTTAATAATTTAAAGTGCTTAGTTGTAATGGGTAAGTACAAACTTAATCAAGAATTAACAAAGAGTGGACGATATAAAAGAAAAAAATTAATTAATCTCATTTTCCAATTATGCTAATGATTTGTTATTTGAAAATTTCATATTGTATAACTTAATTTCTATTTTAATTTAGCATACTGAGCAGTCCTGTCCTAATACTTTCAGTACATCTACAACCAATCAACAAGAAATCCCGCAATCCGACCTAGTTGACAACAATTTACTTCAATCAAGCAACAAGAAGTTCCACAAAACTCCCAAAACATAAATTGTTTTGATTCAGGTATCAACGCTGATTCACCGCGTTACGTATTAGTGGAAGAAGTCGCATTGAAGGTAATATTTTATCAAATTTTGCTACATAAATAATAAGGTTTTAATTCAATAATTTTATTTCTGTAGATTATCATTCAATCTCTTGATGAACCTAAGCTAGCTGTCAAGATATTGAAAGATACTATTATGAGTGGAAATCTGGATTTGAGCAACAATATGCTGACTAAATGAAAAAGATGAGTTCGGGTTTGAAGAACGGTGTTCCGAGAGGAGAACAAATCTACTTGATTGATTTTCCAAAAATCACGGAACTAATGCGTGAAGTTTTATCAAAAACAAATGGAAAAGGAGAAGTTATTGTTGTTGAAGATAGCAAATTGCGTTTGTCAATCCAAGGAGTCTTCAAGAACCATATACACAAAAAGTCTTAATTATGTGATCTCTTATTGTTAATTCTTTATATATTTACAATTAATCCATTAAACACTCGTTCATTTAGTACGTTCAGGGGGGGGGGGGGGTTAAATAAGATCTGAACAATTGAAATTCGTGGAATTCGAACGAATTATAGGTTTAAACGAATTATAGAAATAACATAAATAAAAGAAACAAAAGAAATATCAAAAACACCTAAATTTTAAAGAATTTTTCAATCTTTTTTTATTTTCAGTTTTACAATTAATGTGAATTTAAAGTATGAGATTAAAAAGCTATATGTATAGTGTAATAAGATTGGTATTTGTATATTGTAAGAAGATAGCTATTTATGTAATGTTAGAAGACAGTAACTATTAGATAGCTAGATGCATGGTTCAAAAAGTTAATAAAAAGCTGAGTGAATAATTAAATGTAGCTAGTTAAAAGACAGTTTAAAGACAGTCTGTAGACTAGTTGCTGTAGACTGTCTAATAGGGGCGGACGTCGCAACTCTGTGTCTAGACATAAAAGTTAGTTTTAAACTAGTATATAGAGAATTCGTAGCTAACTGTGGATTCGCTATATACTAGATTTTGGTCACTGGGGAGTAAGTGTGCTTTAATCTCTTTTTAAAATTATATCGGCAATTAACTTGCTATTAAATTAATTATAAGCTGAGTTGAGAGTTTAATGACTTCAGTGGGGCAAGTAAGGTTAATGTAAATTCCTTAACAACAAAACAAGTCGAACTTTAGCCCTTCAAAATTGCTTGCCATTAATATGCATGTGTCACTACAATTGTCAATCAACCCTCATCAAAGTTGCAACTAAAACCTTTAAAATTATTATTTTTCAAAAACAATTCATTTGCATAAGCAATGACTTTATCAATATCAACAAAAATAAATATTTATAAAAACAATTCTATCCCTCAACTTTCCACTGCCTTGACCCAAATAAATACGCAAATTTCATACAGCATAAATAATCTAGAAAAAATGACATTGAAAGTCCCGTTGCACATTAAATAAGTCAATAGGTCAGTGTACTCAAGCAAGCTTATCGTCATTCTTTGCATGATATTGCGCTCTCATCTGTGGACTCGCATTACTTAATTCAACTCATAAATTTTTTAAAGACACTGTGAATTAATGTCTCTTCTTTCTACATAGAAATTGAATAACAATTTTTCTCCAACTTTTGCTTCATATCTTTACCATTTATTTTTGGGTATTGCAATATCAACATCATACGACTTAAAAGAGCAGAGAGACAATATGAGAGATTAATTGAGAGGCACAGCTGTTTGTAAGGTAAAAAAATAATAAAGAAGTGAAGAAAATAATTATAAATAATGAGTTTGTGTTGCATTAGCGTCTTGTCTAGAGTCCCGAGTGGCACAATAAGGCTGCCTTAGTATCTAATCTCTAGTAACTTGTAACTCGTCTCTAGTAGCTAGTTTCTACTAGCTAGTCTCTAGTAGCCAGTCTCTTGTATCTAATGTCTGGTAGCTCGTCTCTAGTCTCTAGTATCTAGTAGCTAGTCTCTGGTATCTAGTATCTAGTATCAAGTATCTAGTATCTAGCAGTAAGTAGCTAGTAGCTAGTATCTAGGATCTAGTATCTGGTAGCTAGTCTCTAGTAGCTAGTCTCTAGTAGCTAGTAGCTAGTCTCTGGTATCTAGTATCAAGTATCTAGTATCTAGCAGTAAGTAGCTAGTAGCTAGTATCTAGGATCTAGTATCTGGTAGCTAGTCTCTAGTAGCTAGTCTCTAGTAGCTAGTATCTAGTAGCTAGTCTCTAGTATCTAGTATCAAGTATCTAGTATCTAGTAGTAAGTAGCTAGTAGCTAGTATCTAGGATCTAGTATCTGGTAGCTCGTCTCTAGTAGCTAGTCTCTAGTAGCTAGTATCTAGTATCTAGTCTCTAGTAGCTATTATCTAGTATCTAGTATCTAGTATCTAGTAGTAAGTAGCTAGTAGCTAGTATCTAGGATCTAGTATCTGGTAGCTAGTCTCTAGTAGCTAGTCTCTAGTATCTAGTATCAAGTATCTAGTATCTAGTAGTAAGTAGCTAGTAGCTAGTATCTAGGATCTAATGTCTGGTAGCTCGTCTCTAGTAGCTAGTCTCTAGTCTCTAGTATCTAGTATCTAGTCTCTAGTAGCTATTATCTAGTATCTAGTATCCACGTAGTAGTCCACAAAACAGTCTAAGTACACTGCTAAATCAGCATTAAGTTGCTCGGGATTAATGCGCACCGCGAGTACATACATCCAAGAAAATTAAAGCATTCTATTACCATGTTTGTGCAGCTTTACCTATATCTTACACTAAGTGTTATGTACATGAAGAAATTTTTAACCGAAAAGAGACTCAAGACATTGCCAAGTGAATTATTCAATACATGAAGTTTGTTTAAATACATTCATTGAAATGTACAACTTCTTTTTTATTTTCAGTTTCATTTCATTTACCCGCACATTTTTTTCAGTTTCATCTTGAACGTTGGTAAGTGAACAGCGCAAATAGAAGTAATAAGCAATAATAGCAAAAAAAAACTTACTGCTTGTGTTGAATTTCGAAAGTTGCAAACAAAATTTGATTGAAACCTGCTGTGCTTCTTATAGTCTCGTGTGTCAACAGGTTGTGCTAGCTTAATTTTATCATTTTAATGGATATTTGAAAAAAAAATATATGCAGCATAAATTTTTCATGAAAAGTGCAATAAAAAATGCACTCAAAAAAAAGTTGCAAAACACCTGAAAAATGTGCAAAATGAAAGTATCTGTGCTAGTGGTGTGCAAGAAAAAGTTTTGCAAGTAAATAGAAGAAAAAAATGTTCATTTTACGTAAATAGGTTGAAATGAAACGAGAAGAAAAGAAAATGGTAATAAAGTGAATTTGTGGTTGAACAAGAGAAGCGCATTTGATGAATTGCCATTGTTTTAAAATTGTATTATAATCAGAAGCTGTTAATCATATTATGAGCTACTTTTGATGGACTACTAGTTAAAATTGTGATAATTATGCTGAAAATTCTGATTCATTAATGTTATTGTTTTATGGAGGCTAGGAAGAAGCGTATTCTAGGTCTGAAATAGTCAAAAGTTGATTTTGAGCTATTTTTAAGTAGAAAGTTAATCATTTAAAATCAACTAGGTTTTTTATTCCAAATTACTATCGAATTAAAATATTCTACTGATTAGAACAAAGTTAAAGTGAGACTTTAGTGATGTTTGATCAAAAGTCAAACAGCATCTGAACAATCAATCAATATAGAACACCAATATAGTAATTCAGAAAAGCAAGTTTTTCAACTTCATAATTTAACAGACAGTCCTTTTGACAAAACTCATTAATTCCACAAAATTTCCACTCAAACCAGCTCAAAGAAAAGTGAAATGCTTGTTTAAAAATCGCGTGTACACTGACTAATGTTTACCTTTAAGTACTCGACAATAAAATGCAATGAGCTTTTTCTTTAATATCATTAACATGATAAGTTTAAAAGTGATAATAGTGAAAGCCTTTTTATTAACATTGCAGCCACATTTGGAGTTTTAAAAAAAAATGTTAAAAATTTGGAATGTGTACTCGCAAGCAGCATATTAATGGTATACAGTACTAATACTTTGATCAAGACCGTAAATAATCATATTTTATTTCTCTTTAACTTTATTTACTGCTCACGGACATCAAACATTGAATGATTGTATTCAAGGTTGAACAAATTTGCCCACCATAAGATTACAAGAAAGAAAAGAAAACAAGTGAATTGAACTTTTTTCGTCGATGTAATTTTAAGGCGCGCATTTTCTGTCGATGAATATTTGAAAAAGCTATTAAGTACGATCCGTTGAGAAAAGAATCTAAACCAATCAAGTTAAAGTAGTTGTTTATTGACATTAAAGATGCATCTAGTGTTAAACTATTGATTTAATTAATTAATAAAAATCTTGTTTGGTAGTTAAATTGTTATTACTAGTTCTTTGATGACATGCAAGTTAGTGATTTGATTTCAAATGTTACGGTGCTCAAAATAATTTTGCCGGATTTATTTGTGGAACTTACAAGGCTCATTAAGAGCTTTAAGAATACTATTCATAGTTTGAGAACAATCTTGAGGGCAGTTAAAAGCATTATCAAAACAATTTTATGACAAAGTGCTTATAATTTCTTTTAAAACCAGTTAATCCAACTTTCAAAGCTCATCTTCGCATAGAGCACAATAAATCTCAATCAAACAGCGCAAAAATGATTCTTAAAATTTAAGAAGCTATGGAATAAATTAAGGGAAACAAAACGAACTTGAGGAAGCTACTCTACAGTTTTTTAATGTCCATAAATGTTAATCTTTATTGAGGTAATTTCGACACAAGACGTAACAAACATTAAAAAAATTAATTAGACAATTCCTCATTACTTGACCCGAGGGGTAATAACTTCAAAAGTATATTATAATAAGAAAACAAATTTACAATTCGCTTAGGTTGAATAATATTTGCAATGTGTTCAAAAGCAACCGAATTGGTAAATAGACATAGATATGAAGCTGTAAAAAGTTTTGAATAAATTGCCATTGAATGGGTTTTATCAGATTTGTCAAGGATTTTTTGTGGACTAGATTTTACTTTGTTTGGAAATAGAAATAGAAAGTGACAAAAATCTATCAAAAATGCTTAAGACACTTCAATTGTGATGAATTAATATCATCTGAAGTTTAATGTCGTTACATCGAACTATATCTCTGCAGTTAAATCAATAGTTCAGAATTACTAGTAAATTTAATTTACCACTTAATTTTTTCAAAGAAATTCTAGCAAAATGTTAACAAAAGGGGAGTGAAACTACATTAAACAATGAAATTTTAATCTCAAATGACGTTTAAATTTCATTTTTGAAGTTTTATTACTTAAAATGCATGAATGTCCATCTTTTCCTTTTAATCTTGAGTTAACAATCCAATTCAATCAATTGCAAATTTCCTTACTATCATGACTTCATTTAACTACATCTACTCCATGAAAGATCATCAAATGTCAAGCTTATTACTCACAACCGCTCATTTTCCTTATTACCTGAGCTTTTCGTGCTCTTTCAATTTATGATGTAATTAGCTTGTGTCACTATTTACATATCAGTCTGTTAGTTCTAATCATTAAGTCTTGTAAGTAAACACACTAAGATGATACATGCAAATGAATTTTGCAATACATGACTGATCTCCTGAGAACATTTTTGATTGTTTACAAATTCATAATTGATCATCTTTACGGCTTGCCTTAAATGAGTGCTTTTAAAAATTATAATAATTTTTGCTCCCATGGAACTATTAGGTTACACTTAATTGACTGTTGCTGTTTTATGCGAAACTTGATAATTACACGATTGGATTTATTTTTTCGAAGCTTCCACAAAATAAAAGTTAATTTTTGATTGGAAAATTGGAGCAGATCAAATGTTTAAGATTAGTAAACTTGATACTTCATGTTGGAATCAGAAACAGCGGATGACGTCAAGATGTTAAATTGATGTGGAATTTATGATGCGAATTTGTAGAAAAAACGGAAGATCTAATGAGGATTATTGGTTCGTAGTGTTTTGAATAATTGCCTCTAAATTGTTAAAGCAGAGTTGGTAAAGACCTTAAAATGTCAAGTTGATGTCAACTTGCGTCTCATTTATTACTTAATGTAAATAACAACACAATTTCCAGATGATTTTAAACACGAATTCATAATTGCATGAGCTTCAAGGTCATGTGCTTTTGACTTTGTTAATTTCAAATCCACATTAGTTATTTCTAAAGAGGAAGCTAGTGCATTTGTCAAGAGCTTTTTTTGTTCATTTTTTTTGCAGGAAGTTTCAGATTGTCACAATCAGTTTTTGCTAATTTATCATTGAAGTTTTTTTCTTCGAATTGCTTCGAATGATTTTGATATTTTTTAAACAAAATAACTTTCGTAAAAACTGGAATTCCACAATTAATGTGAATAATATGAAATTTTTGTGGATTTGTTGGACCTTGATATACTGAATAGGCAACGACTTCCTTATTTAATGCATTATTTAACTTCGTATGGTGTCTTACATACATTTTCATGTATAATTAGTTTTTGTTCAATTACGTTTTTGAGTATTGATATTAAGCTCTATCAGTTCTGTAGAGTAAATGATTGCGATCAAAATTCAGTTAACAAATGACTTTTGATCAAATCACTCAATTCAAATAATCAAATAAATCAACGTAAATTGATCAGCTTATCAAATTTGATCAATCGAAATTAATTATCCAAGCTTCAAACTGTTGATTGTTAAAAACATTTTCACCTCATAAATAAAAAGAAAATCAGTGCAACAAAATTGTAAAAATGAAATTTGCAATTAAAAATAATTCATTTAAAAAATTTCTTTTGCAAAAATTCGCGAGTGAAATCTCATCAAAATTCATGAATTTCTGGCTGTTTATCAAATAAATTAAAAGTAAGAAGGAAGTAACCGGATAGACACATGAAAGGCACATCCAAGTGAATATTTTCTATTATTTCATTTCACTTTTTTACACAAAATTATTTAATACAAAATGAAAGCTTGGATTTCTGACTTTTCGTTTGTTTCTTGATTATAAAGGAAATAATGCAGAAATGCCAGCATTGTAATCTTGTTCATTAAAATAATTATTAAAATTGGGTTTGAAATTTTTGACAATCTTATCTTGTTTTAAGGTTGTAGTCAGGGGAAACTGAACGAAGGAACTGAATCAATTCTAATTTTCAAAGGGAGTTTTAGCAGAATTAGACCTCTTTTTAGCCAAGTCGTTAGATTCGTTTGAATCTTTTGAGAGTTCTGCTTTTCGTAGGATTCGTACCAAAATCGAGGTTTCAAACTAGCTCTAACATCCAAATTTTCAAAAAAGTCACTCAATTGTTTCATTATTTTAAAGCTACATCTCTTCTTCTAAAAATCTTACGCATATCCATTACGTAAACTGTCAACATATCAATTTTTTAAGCTAGACAACAATCGCATTAAAATCCAAATCATGATTATTAAACAAATTTTTTGATATTTAACGAAAAAGACACAATCAGTGCTCGAATTTCTACATCAGTGTTTTGTTGCTTATTACTTCTAGAAGTTTTTTGTAAAGAGTTGGCAAATTTACTTTTAAAGATTTAAAGGTTTTGTAGAATGAATCTGGAGCTTAAAGTGGATTCAAAATATAAGCAAAATCTTTGCATTTCAGATTTAAGACTTTAATTTTTAAAACTCGTGATTCTTTTGATGCCAACTCGAAATATTTTTTAACAATTTCAAACAAAATTCTTACCTTTGTAGATTAGAATAATTTCTAAGATGAATCCCAAATTTTCACATCCATACAAAGACCATTCTGAGCCCTATCAATGGGATGATGAGAAAATTGATGATATTGACGAGCTTCATGAATGGTGAGTAGTAATTTACACAATACAATTAAAGCAATATTGACGCTCTATCTGAACATTGCTTTCATTATTAAACTAAAGAATTTGTTTCTTGTTTAAAATGCACCGATTTTTAAAACTTTCAAGTTTCAAACTTTCCAAATTGTCAAACAATTTCTTAAGGATTACATTGACGATTCTACAAAATTCGATTTAAAATTTAATCCATTAAATTCTCTAGAATCTCAATTTTAAAGAAATCCACGAATTAATAAAATTTAAAGAAAGGATTTGAATGAAATTCCCTCACCTTATTTGTATGCCAAATCACATTGTGTGGCACAGACGAAGGCAAACACATGACTATATACACAAATGTGTGAAAATGCATGGAAAATTGAGGTTTTCACACATCTGGGTACATATTCATGAATACACAAACGAGTTGTACATATGTTCAAGGTTAATCAGTATTTGCTGAGCCCTATTGTAGTCTCAGTATTTTTGGACTGTTTGCTAACCCTAAAGAATTGAAACTTTATTCTCCACATAATTTTAAAATTATCACAGCATTAAGTTTAATTTCCTATTTAACCATTTTCATGTTGACTCAAAAATAAAAGGTTACAACACCAACCACGCTATCCCAAGATGACAAAGAATCATGTTCACCAATTTTATCATTCGTGCTATTATAATAAAGAGGAAACGAAGAAAGCATTTCAGAAATATGTTGAAGTATGTATTCATATATATGTACACATATAGTGAATGTAAATATAAATTCAACGGTTTGCATATAAATGTTCATCATTTTCAGCTTCGTGCGTCGGCTCCAGAATGCTTTGGAATAAGAGATCCACTTCTGCCAGCAATGCAAAATGTTTACACAGCCACGTACGTATATTTCAATATCACATATATAAAATGATTATGTAGTACAATAAGAAGAACAGCATTAAAATCACTATCTCATGCTGTCGTTGTGCTGCTGCTTCTTTTTAACGCATTTTCCTAGTTGTGGAAAGCTAGTAATGTCCTGGGTTTGGTTGTTTGTATGTCAGTCTGTCTTGGGGCTACTACGAGTATCTGAATATAGATTTCAATTCTAGGAGTACCAAAGGTGACTCTTGAAACTGACCCCATAGGTGGTCAAAGAAGGTGGAAACATTCCTTGTAAAGTATAAGGATAATAATCGATTAAATCAAGCGATGAGCCAGAAAAATGCGCTCATACCCAACATCCACATAGTTATCATTACTTGCTATGTTTTATATTCATACTTGCTTCTTGTTTCTCATTCAACATCTATCTGCCATATTGTAGGAATATGGTCGCCTTGCCAAAACTCACAAAAGATGGATATCGAATCTTGAGCTATCGACTGAAAGATTATACACCAACACGTCTAATATTCGGGGAGGCTGTAAAGGTTAGTCATTAAACGTCTCTTTTAATTATTAATTATCGATTAAGTCAGAACTTTTTTTTTTCTCTCTCCTGTCTCTTATCAATCCATTACATGCATCCAATAATATTATATTCGTAGGCATTCAACATGTTTAATGATGTCGTAATCAGTGTCGATGGACCAATAAATGGATATGTTGTCATATTTGATATGGAAGGTGTTTGTTTACGACATTTAACTAGAGTTCAACTTGGACCACTTCGGAACTTTATGGCGTACATTCAGGTTTACATTTGTTGTTTTTTGATGACTTCTTATTGCTGCTGCTGTGGATAGATCTGCTGATGAAATCACTTGATTAATATAACATAAAAATAGAGAACAATTCTGTCTGGTTTTGGATTGTTTTCTTGGCAGACTTGTAGACAAATAAATTTGATAAATTATGATATAGGCAGTTGGGTAGTAATTTGGCACAAGATTTTCAATTTTATGGACACTTGAATAGGGCGTATCCAGATCATCTTCTAAAATCTCCAAAAAAATGAATTAAAGCTGTTTAATACTCAAAATAATCAAAAATGCAAATCTATCCACAAAAATGCACAAAAGGCACTTTCCATGTCTCAATGTTAATATTTTAAAAATTCATTCCATTATTTTCTTTTGTTCCACAACAAAAAATAACAGGAAGCTCACCCCGTGCGACTAAAGAAAATTTATATTGTTCATGCTGCATGGTTTGTAAACCAAGCCTTTGCCATTGCGCGGCCATTCATTAAAACTGAATTAATGTCACTATTACATTTTACCACTGGTGGACCAGATGAAATTTTCCCATTGGATATTTTACCATTAGTAAGTTTACTTAAACATTAGAGACAATAGCTGAATGCTTCATTTAACTTTTTCTCTTTTTTTCCCATTCATTCCTATCTGTGCATGAATGAATAATAAAAAAAAATATAAAATTTCTGTGTATAGGAATACGGAGGCGAACTAAAGTCATTAGATGAGTTTCATGAAGAGCAAAAGGAGCGTTTAGAGAAAGAATACCGAGAGTGGCTCATTGATTCAAGCAATTTAAAACTATTACCGAAGGAGAAAAAGTCAGATAAAAAACCTATGTTTGATGCCAACGCAAATGCTTGCGATCCTCCCGTTGCGTCACTTAATAAATTGTCAATAGATTAAATGTGTAGGTTTACGTTTCATTTCGTTTTCGTCCTTTTGTTTTTAAAAAATCAATTCATTATGCTGTTTGTTTCATACCCACGTGAAAAAAAAGAAGAAAAGCGAAAGGAAATAATATCCTGTAAATGATTAAGGATGGTGTGTCTGGATTTGTGGATGTTGTTGGCTTAAATTTGATATTGGTTCTAATGGTTCTAAATATTGGTAAATTTAATTTGGTATTAGGCAAAGATTTTGAGATTAAAAGGTTTTGAAGACACGATTGCGTATTGTGGACCATAGTTTAAGAAGACCTGCTTCACAGATTAGAACCATTAGAAGCATAATAATTGACTCCCAACTTTAAATTATGATAATTAGAGCCTACATAAGGCTTGATGCCCCAGAAACTTATAAAAGTTCATTAACCTCAAATCTGACCAAAACTTCCTTCCCATCCACACACCATCCTAAAAAAATGTTGACATTTTATTACTTCTAATGCAGGTATCAGGTACATTAAGTTTATTTAAAGAAGAACAAACATTCTTCATGCAATTTTATTTTCATTTAATTGTGATTGTGTTTGTGTAATGGACAACATTATAAGTTTTATTCATTATTGTGTACATAATAAAATAAAGTTACAATATATTTTTATTTGCCTGGAAAATGCCTTTTAGTCATCACTTATATCAGCGGCTTAGTCGTTCAGTAGTTCCACAAATACTTGACATTCTTTGTTAATAGAACATTGTTGGCTGTAAAGTGTATATACATTTCCGTTAGATGCGAATAAGTCTTATTCAGTGAATTTTCTTGAGTTCGTTGTTGACATTTTGTCTGTCTGTCTTGCAACCAGCTTTTTGAACAAGGTGCCGTACACTTATGACGTCCAGAAGGTGAGGCGGGGGGTCAACTAGAAAAAAACAATAAAAATTTCTGGATATGGCGATTGTTCTTTTTTGAAAAATGAATTTTAGTTTCGGACGTCATAAAAGAATGACCCCAAGCTGTTTAATTGTTATTTTCAAATAATTTTTGTCTGTTATTTTTTAAAAAAAACATGACCGTTATTTACAATCTATTCCAAAAAATGCGCACAAGATTGACCACATCTATGCTGTTCAGTTGTTCTTTATTTTCATTCCATTCTCATTCACATAAATACTATGCGGCAATTTTCAAGGCTTCTTGTTGTAATGTAGTCTAGGATTTTTATATTCAGCACAACATTTTAATTGAAAACGAGAACTTCAATTATTTCTGAGTTTATTAATAGCAGCTTCAGGCTCTATTTATAAAACAAATTGGTAATTAAAAACTTATTTTTTTTCAGAATCCTTTTAAAGCATATTCAGCACATAATTCATTGAGGAAGTAGAGCAATTTGGGATTTAATTGTTTTAAGATGTTCTGTTTTACTTCAATGTGGGTGTAATCGAGATGACGTATGAATGAGATCGTGTATCAGGTACATGCTTTCATGACGCATTGAATGACGTAATTTAGAGCATAAAAAAAATTTACAATCATTCATAATCGACAGTGTGGAGGATGATAACAATGTTTTTGGAGTAAAATGGATGCTGTGTAAAGGTTGTTGGCTTGAAGCGATTTTAATGACTTATTCATTCGGTATAAAACGTGCGTATTTTAATTGCTTGGTTTGTTTTGTTAAGCTATCATGAATTTTTCTTGTAGATTTTTATTATGGGTCGTATGTTGATGACGTTGATCACTTTTGTGATGTCATCGATGCAATTTTGTTGATTAGATGTGTAAGTTTGATCAGATTACAGAAGATTTTACTTCAAACTAGCACGGACAGTCTATTGGTTAAGACATTTTATAGTTAAGGTTATAGCACACCCAACCTGGCCTCGTTCAGCCTTTTTTGTTGTCATTGAGTCAAATTCTGTCAGAATTGTTAAGGATTCCTGAAATAGAAGTTAATTTATCAATATTTTAAGAAAACCGAACTACTAAAGACTTAAAGTTCAATCAATCTTAGGTAAACATCTAGAAAACAGTACGGCAAAGACGAATGACCCTTAACTCAATTATCTGAAAAATCCACAAAAGTTTACACGCTCAAAATTTAATTGGCTGTTGTCATGAAATTTCTTAACATCCAGTAATATGACACTTTAGTTGTTGCAGCCAATTTTCCCTTCAACTTCGCAAAACACAAAAGAACTGGGCATGAAGTTCAACAAAAAAGTAAATTACATACTTATAAGCCTTTGCCACCAACAATAAATACCATTCTCAAGCTTTTATGAAAATAAACAATTTTAGTTCTTTTAAAAAATGTGAGAAAAAGGCAAAAGACTTTTCATTTTTGCCGGAATCCAAATAAGAAAATCAATAGGTTTGAATATGTATGTTCATGTTAGCATAAACATTTCATTCAGTACCTAAATACTTCAAGTTCCTTTTTCCTTTTACTGTTTCTTTCCGACTTTTCTTCTTCTTCTTCTCGTCTTATTCGTTCTTTTCCTTTGTTGTGAATGAGCTCATAAAATTTTTTTTCGATATATTACATGAGTTTACTATTGAGAAAAGGAAATAAGTGTTAAAGAATGTGTGTAGTAGCGGAAACTAAAAATGAACAAACAGTGCGGTTGGCGATAATATGGAGATGGAGGGTAAGAATGAAGTGTTATATGTACTTATGATGTACTAGTGATTTGGTGCCGTCAAATTTGATGAAGCCAAGCATGTTTTAGTTGATTTTGTAGATTTAAGGAGTAATGAACGGAAATAAAAGATATTTAAACAAAATTGCATCAATTCTGTTACGAACTTTTCAGATTTAATTTCAATTCGGAGCAAATTCACACTTGATAGGCGAATTTGCAGTAAAAGGTGGGGAAAATCTACTTAATTGCAATTAATTTCTTTTTAAGACTTCCTTTCAAGGAGTTTTTATTATACTTCCTAGTAATGCAACATTGTTATCATCATCTCTACATTAATTCTTACACAATACGTTTGATTGCATTGTTTTGCACGTGATTACAAGTTTCTTAAACTTATTGGTTATTAATTTTACTAAATCCAGACAATTATGCTGACTTTTAAAGATTCACATCAAATGTAAGTTTTAGAATAAAGCAATGAGTAAAGATCTACATTTTTAAAAGATTTCATTAATTATTGACAGAATTAGACATGAAAATTAAATTTTATAAAAACAACACAAGCGTCAAACTCTTTTCAGACCCCTAAAAAAAAAAAAATCAGAAAAAGGTTTTCTAAACCATAAAATGCTTAAACATAATAATTCTAAAATGCTAAAGGTTACACAAAATCAACAGAAAATTGCGTCATGTTTAAAACTTTCATCCTGTATTACACCCCAGAGTAAAGGAAGCTCATCATCATTATCACCATTATCATAAAGGGCTGCAAAGGAGCATTAAAAAAGCTACAAAAGGTCACTAAACGCTGTAAAAACGTGAACTTTTAAATATGCATAACATTTCTTTAATTTATCTGAGGGACTAAATGTGAATGATCAACAAAACAGAAAAGGCAATCGTAGGTGGAGTTGATGAGTCCTTGCATTTACGAATCCATTAAGAATGCTTTCTTGAATATGAAATGGAAACAAATATGATACATTTAAAAAGGAATTATGTAGGAGTTGGAAAGTTGCAAGTAGGAGTATGAAAGGGAAACAAAGCCCACACACAATGCGAATGAATGAAGAAAATTATATGCATAAAAATACATTCGCCAACATGCAATGACTATGAATAGGAAAACTGAGAGAAACTAGTAAGGATTTGGTCAATTAGTAATTGCTAAAAGCGCATTTGTTTCTCGGAATTGAAATGGAACGTAACGGGTAGGAAATATTTGAAAATAAAACGGTCATGTAAAGTCGAAAGCGCGGGGGTTAATTGTTGATTACACGCTTTTAAACGTTCAAAGACAGTCGGACAAATATGTACCATAGCTTGCTCAAAAAATTAGGAGCCATTCACTTATGACGTCCATAGTCAAGTGAACAACCCCCATAGTCGAGCACAGAAAGAAAGTTGCAGAACACAAAGAAGAAATGTTATTGATGCTTAAAATAGTTTAAATGATATTAATTATTACTAAAGTGGTTGCTAAATGACACACCATTATTACAAACAGTTGGACATTAAATGAATTGTGACAAATCAAATTGTTATCTCGCCTCTCGAAATGCCACACACAACAAAAAGTCTAATGGGTATGGGAAGTGCTTAAAGTTCATGAAAAATCATAAAAAAAATAAAGTTCACATAACAACCGAGGCAAAGGCAGGCAGAAGCAACGCAAGAGAGATTAAAATTTTATGTATAACACTATAGCGCTTCCTATAATCACCATAAAGCTTTCTTGTTATCCAAAATAGTCTTATCAATTTATGAAATCACTTTATTCTCTAATCCATTTTGACACTCTCTTCAAATAGAACCGAACAAAGTTTTTTTTTCAGACATGAAATTCTCTCGCCGTTTGAGCAATCACAAAAAAAAGTATTTGAGAGAATTGCCGACGTCGGTCGTCTGTGCATCACGTTTTTTTCTTCCTTTACAACCACTTCACAATTTATACAAATTCTGTATATGTACGGATATGAATTGGCTTATGTTAGTTTGAGCTTTTGCTCTTTCCAACAATAAAGACGACTCCAACGAGGACGACGGATGGAAAAAAATTTTATTGCGAGAGAATTTCCCTCAGTTTTAAGCGGAACGTTGAAAGTGTAGGTTCACTTGGAAAATTTTTCCTTGTGGAAAAAAAAATCTTTTTGAGCTTTAACAAAAAAATAAAAAATAAAAGTTTAAAAAATAAAAAAAGAAGGTTGAATTAAAAAGTTGTTCATGAGAAAATTTAAAAAAAGTTAAAAAGCTTAAAACAGCTTTTTCATTAATTAATATTGTTCCATAATAAGGTAGATAAGTGCTTTATAAAATCATAAAATTTTTTTTCTCTGTTGGATTATCAAGAATAAAGTTTTTGATGCTACTGTGTTAGTGTTACATAACTTGGCAGCAAATGTTCACCCCTGCGAAGGGAGAGAAAAAAAGAATCTGTTGTGTGTGCGACTATTTTAACCAATACAATCACTATATGCAGTTATTTTGTGACTTACTCATGACTTTGATGAACAAAAAATTAATTAAAATAATTTTAATCCTGTGATAAATTCAACACTTGACATGACTATCAACTGGAAATTTAATTTGAGTTAATAAATGACAAGAAAATTTTTTTTGTCATGAAAAAAAAAACTTTGACTGAACATGCGCATGGATACTATTGAAGTGATAAAAGAAAAGAAAAATTGAGTATAAAAAAACTTTTTTTTTTGTAGTGAAGCTAAAGTAACGGTTCGAATATTGGGGATTGTTAACTTATGAAGTCATTCAAAAAAGTTGGGATTATTGTAACTTCGATTAATTTGAAGTCTTAAAATGTTCAAGACACCCGAGATCTTCGAACTTTTGCTTTGACACCCATTCATTTTGAATTTTGGACAATTAAGATCTTCAGACCCTCATAAACTACAGAAAAGTTGTCATTCAGACTTATTAGCTTCCCTGACCTAC